CTGCCGAGAGGCGCGCTGTGAAGTTCACCGAGTCCAGAAATAATCCCAAAAAGATTATATTCTGTGCCGGGACGAGCATGCTCTTTTCCGCGTTCATCACAAAGCCCAGATTGAACAGCTGCTGTGTGAGAATATGCGTGTGCGTGGGCTTCCTGCTCCGATTGCCGCAGAAGCAGCCAATTGTCGAGGTATGTGGCCAGGCGGATGCCCCGCCTCCTCAGCGGGGCTAACACTCTTGGGCTCAGGGAGAGGCCGAAGGGGAGCAGCAGAGATGTGTGTGTGAGCATCCTGAAATTGTATTTCCTGAGATATTTGTTCAGAGCCCGCAGATCCAGGATAGGGCGAATTCCAGTTCCCCCCTGTTTGGGGACCAGAAAATACCTGGAGTAAAAACCGCTCTGACTCTGTGCGGGAGGTACTATACATATTGCTTGCTTGTTTAACAGTGAGTGAATTTCCTCCTGTAAAACGCGAGCTGACTCTCCCTGAGCCTGGGAATGAATTATGCCGGCGAATTGCGGGGAACGGCGGCAAATTGGAGCCTGTACCCCCCGGAGATCTTTCCTCAGCACCCAGGATGAAGCTGGAAGAGCGCTCCAACTCTCCCACCTGAGGGAGAGATTGGACACACACTCCAGCTCCCTCGCCCAGCGAGAGTGGGGCCATCCGCGGTGCGGTGGCGCCCTTTCGCGACAGCCCACCGAGGCTTGCAGGAATGACAATATCACCCCCACCGGACACTGAAAAGAGATGCACGAGCGGCCAGGCGTACGCCAGCGCGTCCACGCCCAGAGGAGCATCCCTGCTGTGCAGAGAGTAAAACAGCGTGCACCGCGCGTTTTCTCTCGAGGCGAACAGATCTACGGCAGCTCGGCCAAACCTTGTCCAAATCTGTTCCACAATCTCTGGATGCAGAGTCCACTCCCCGTACATCGGCGCGCCCCTGGATAACAGGTCCGCGCCCGTGTTCAGGGCACCTGGGACATGCATCGCTCTCAGAGAGAGGAGACAGCCGGAGCTCCAGAGGATCAGTTTGCGTGCCAGCATGTGTAACCAATGTGAACGTAAGCCGCCTTGGCGGTTGATATACGCCACTGTCGTCGTATTGTCCGTTCTCACCAGGACATGACGGCCCTGGAGGGACGGAAGGAAGTGTTTCAGGGAGAGGAACACCGCTGAAAGTTCCAGGAAATTTATGTGAGATTGCTGGAGAGCCACAATCCAGCGGCCGACTCGCCTTCGTGTATTCCGCCCCAGCCGGACAGACTGGCGTCTGTTGTGACCACCCTTCTGGACAGGACTGAGCCCATGGGGACCCCTTGGGTCAGGAAGCGCGGAGCTCGCCAGTGATGCAGTGTCCTGGCGCATTCCGGTGTGATCCACACTCTCCGTGCGCCATGGCGCACGGGATCCAGCCCGCATGAGGCCACCCAAAACTGGAATTCCCTCATGTGGAGGCGGCCGAGACGGACTACATGAATGGCTGACGCCATCAGTCCGAGTAACCGCAGACATAATCTGAATTGAACATATCTGCCTGGATGAAAAAGCGCGAGGCATGTCCTGAATGTTTTCACTCGCTCTGCCGAGAGGCGCGCTGTGAAGTTCACCGAGTCCAGAAATAATCCCAAAAAGATTATATTCTGTGCCGGGACGAGCATGCTCTTTTCCGCCTTCATCACAAAGCCCAGATTGAACAGCTGCTGTGTGAGAATATGCGTGTGCGTGGGCTTCCTGCTCCGATTGCGCCAGAAGCAGCCAATTGTCGAGGTATGTGGCCAGGCGGATGCCCCGCCTCCTCAGCGGGGCTAACACTCTTGGGCTCAGGGAGAGGCCGAAGGGGAGCAGCAGAGATGTGTGTGTGAGCATCCTGAAATTGTATTTCCTGAGATATTTGTTCAGAGCCCGCAGATCCAGGATAGGGCGAATTCCAGTTCCCCCCTGTTTGGGGACCAGAAAATACCTGGAGTAAAAACCGCTCTGACTCTGTGCGGGAGGTACTATACATATTGCTTGCTTGTTTAACAGTGAGTGAATTTCCTCCTGTAAAACGCGAGCTGACTCTCCCTGAGCCTGGGAATGAATTATGCCGGCGAATTGCGGGGGAACGGCGGCAAATTGGAGCCTGTACCCCCCGGAGATCTTCCTCAGCACCCAGGATGAAGCTGGAAGAGCGCTCCAACTCTCCCACCTGAGGGAGAGATTGGACACACACTCCAGCTCCCTCGCCAGCGAGAGTGGGGCCATCCGCGGTGCGGTGGCGCCCTTTCGCGACAGCCCACCCGAGCGGCGCTGTGCCTTTCAGCCCGGGCTGACAGCGCAGCGGCGGGGCTGCCTCGGTTTCCGCTCGGTGAGAGCTATGGCAGCTTTTCACCGGAGCGGGACAGCAGGCGTCGCCCCCACACTGCTTATATTCAATTTTATATTTTTTATTCTTTTGGCTTTTGTATGCTGCGCCCATCGGCCCTTGGCCTGGATGCGACAGCGGGACACATTTTATTTTCATACTCTTTGTGAAAACGTGTGTGTGTGCGTGCTTGTGGACGTGAGGGAGGAGCAACAGCTGAACCCTCCGCTGCAAACTGTCCTTTTTCTCCAGCCCGCTCTGGCATGGTGTGCCGTGGCTGGGAGAAGGGGGCGCGGTGGGCCCCGGGGAGCACGCTTGAAAGCCAAGCAGGTGTGGCTGGGGAACGGGGAACAACCAGCTGCATCACCTGTGGAGAGAGGCGGTCACCCCGCTCTCTTTTTCTTCCTGGCCTGAGAATGGGCAGTATGCGCGGGCTGGGCCGGCGGAGCTGCGGTTGAGGCCAGGGGTTTCCTCTGCCAGCCGGGCCGGGTTACCTGACCATGCAGGGGCGCCGGGGCGGGCTGGGACTTTAAACTGTGGAGCCATCTGTGTGAAGCTTCGTCGCTGCACAAGAGGAGGAGGAGGAGAAGGAGCTGGGGGCTTACGAGGGAGGCAGAGCTGGAGAGCTTCATCCTCTTTCTTCTTTGCCTCACACCGCTTCTGCATAGAGGCCAGTGCGGAGCCGAAGAGCCCCTCCGGGACTATGGGCATGTCCAGGATGTCGTCCTTCTCCCTATCTGACAGTTTAGCGAGGCCTAGCCACTGTGCTCGCTCCTGCAGAACCATATTTCCCAGCGCTCTCCCCGTGGCCTGGACCGCGCAGCGCTGGACACGGAGACACAGGTCGGTGATGACCGGTATTTCCTCCCACGCAGCTGGGTCCTGAGACTGCGCAAAATCCTCACACAACTCGGCCTGGTAAGCCGTGATTAGGGAGAGGACATTGAGCGCTCTGGCCGAGAGCACCGCCGCCTTGTACATTTTCTCAGTCAGGACTGACTGGAAACGGTCAGACTTGGACGGCAGGCTGAGGCCCCTGGATGGCGCTGCTGCCTGGGGTGCAGGTGCGCGGCGACGAGCGGCTTCATCGGAGGCATGCGGAGCAGGCCCGAGCCCTTCATCCCCTCGCAGTCGAGGGAGGAGGCTCCGGGAATCGGGCTCCTACTGCTGTACGGGCGGTCTTTCCATGAACGCGCCACCTCGTCCAGCAGCTCCGGGAAGACAGGGAGGAGTTGTTTTGCTGCACTCCTGGCCAGGAGTAATTTCTTCCCCTCATAGCGGGATCTGGTGGTCTCTGTTATGACGACAGGCCAGGGGATGCCCAGCCGGGCAGCAGCGCGTTTGCACACGTCGAGCATGGGAAGAGGAGGGGCTGGTGTGCTTCTCCCACTTTCCTCCTGAGAGGCGGTGGGGGCCGCAGGCTGCGCAGCCCGGGCCAGGGTGATGAAAAAGTTGTCCTCTTCTTCATCCTCTGATATGAGGAGGTCCAAGGCGCCTTCTTCATCATCCTCCCCGTAGTCCAATTCCAGGACGTCTTCCTCCGGCGGGACGGCTGAGGCCAGTTCGGTCTGGGAGCCCCAGCTGACACTGGCCTCCGGCACCGCCGCGGCATCATCCTTCTCCTCCTCACCTACAACATCGTAGCCGTCGGAGGGGAGATAAGGGTTGTGCCCGGAGAGGCTAGCTTGGCGAGATAGTTGTCTACGGAGGCTCTTGAGCGTAAACACCGAGCAGTGCTGACACGAGCCGGGGACATCGATCGCCAGGCAGGCATGTTCCAGCCCTAGCAGACCTGGTGTGGATCCCTGCTCCAAATCTTGTTCCCACAGCGGCAGTGACGGGGCCCAGAGTCTCCGTATCCTCTGGTGTGAGGAGTTTTGTCCTCCATCCCTCACGAGTGGGTGCGCAGGGAGGGAAACGAGGTGGTTAGCTGGTGTGCTAACAGAAGCCGAGAGGTTAGCTGCTGTGCTAATTCCCCGGGAAGCGAACACCGTGGTGGGGTGTCGAGCTTGAGCGTTAGCCTAGCCGGAAGGCAAGGAAACGCAGTACACTCCGATCTGGTGTGAGCAACGAAAATGCCCCGAGCTAACAAGCGCCCGGCAACGGAAGCTAAATAAGATCCGTCTGTGGACAGTTAAGCTAGCCAGCTCAGGACGAGAGATATGCTCCGAGTAGTGATGTTGATAGGTTTTCAATGTAGTGAGTCCCCAGGACCCACAGGTGGTGATTTGAGTGGGTCCCTGGGAAATTCAATGGGTCCCAAATAAATTTTTTTATTTCTTATATTCTTCTATTTCTTAAATTGTAGTGTTAAACTCCTTTGATGGTGGTATGATATGGTTATAATTAACGGATATATTCATGTATGTTCAAAATGTATCTGAAATTAAACAAATAAGATTCCAAATCTGAAAAGTTTATTGCAAAACAACTGTCACAGCGGCATGACATACAAAATTCAAATAAAATAGCATTTTTGTAGCAACATAAATAGCACCAAAATAAATTACTAAAATTCAAATGAAAACAAAATGGTGTCTGTAGTACCAAAATAAATTATCAATAAAAGTGCTGATTTTAACACATAAACAAAACATTCTCATCACCATGACAGAGTCAACAAATAAATTGTCACCAAAATAAGACCAAAATCTTCTTGTCTGAACATCAACTAAATCAAATGAACTGAGTCAATCACTGTGAAACTTTTAGCACACAAATGAAACTTAACTAACACAGTGGAAAGTCTGTTAAAGTATTTTTCATCACCGCCACCATGTTTTATTTATTTCATTACAGCACGTCCCCTAGACGTTAAGACATTGTCGACATGAGTGAAAACAGCAACGAGCAGTGGAAACATGAGTTTATTTACTACTATGAAGTTCGTAACTTTAATTGTTGAAATGAAATCCGCGGTGATTGGCTAATTGTTTTGGTAGTGGCTAAACTAGCATGTCGCGATACTGTGCACAGGGGAACACATCTGCGCAGAGTAGATGCGCACTGCGCAGAGGGTTGAAACAGCGCCTGCCTGGTCTGCTGACAGCGAAGTTACTTTTGCTAGTTACTGTGATTTTAAACACGAGTTGTTGTTCACAATGTATCGTTTTTCATGGGAAAAATGAGCTGCGTCCCTGGGACGCATGGATAGTGAGTTTACTGCGTCCTTTCAGATTTTAATGCGTCAGGGACGCAGGACGCGTACCTAGCAACATCACTGTCCGAGTGAGAAGAGGTGTTTGAATGAAGTGGTGATGTCCGCAGGGGGTATTTATGGCAGGTGGGACTACCTGACGCGGACGAACACGTTCACCAGCCAATCAGGATTGGCGTAATGAGATAAGTGCTTCTGAGGGCTGCAGCATCCCATAGTGAGACATCGAGCGAATATTATGAAAGAGAACACATTTTTGGCCATAACCTAATTATGACAAAATACATGTAATGCCTTTTTTTTAGATTCCAGAGTCTGATGACTTTAGTAAATGAGAGATTTAAGTTTTTCATTTTTAGTAAATTTGTGAAGTGAAGGGGTATGAATACTTTGTGAAGCCACTGCAGCCGTGTAAGTGTTTGTGAGCTCTAATGATCCTCCCATTGTTCCACAGCCTGCCTCAACAGGGGATGACAGAGCCATGTGTTTCACCTGCAGTGTGTGTCTGGTCTGTTGGGAACCGACAGATGAGCCATGGTGAGTGGAAATCCTTTGTTATTTAGATGTTATTTAGACTCTTACAAAGTGTCTCTCTACATGACTAAATGTTTCTCCACCAACCTCAGGTCGGAACACGAGCGACATTCTCCAAATTGTCCATTTGTAAAGGGAGAGCACACACAAAACGTCCCGCTGTCAGTGACGCTGGCGACCAGCCCCGCCCAGTTTCCCAACAGCCCTGACAGTTCAGACAAGATCGCCTGCTATGGCTTCGGCAGCTGCCCGCAGTTCCTGGCTGCTGCCACCAAAAGGGGCAAGATGTGCATCTGGGACGTCTCTAAAATGATGAAGGTCAGATCACTGAACTGTGGACAATATCATCTCTCCTCTGTTTCACGTTCAGAGATGTCATGTCAGACAAGAAATGTCAGAATTGACCCCAGAGTAATGAGTGTGTGATGAACAGGTGCATCTGAAGTTTGAGATCAACCCACACGACCCTGCCATCCTGAGGCAGCTGATCCTGTGTGGTGGAGACCAGAGCCAGCAGATGCTGACCGAGTCCCGGAGACCAACTCTGGCCTGGCTGGAGGAGTCCTCTTCCTGCTCTGACCTACCCAAGCTAGAAGGGGACAGGTGACACATGCACAGACACACACACACACACACACACACACACACACACACACACACACACACACACACAAACGATGATCACCCTTTGTTTATAAGTGATATCAATTTGACATCAAGAAGAACATGTAAATGATACAAACAACCTCAAAGTGCAACACAACAACAAATCCTGGAGGCAGAGGTTGCTATGGCAACATGTGAACTATGGTGTACAACAGGGTAAGTTGAGGTTTAACAACTTGAACCTAAAATACAGAAAAGCAGTATAACAACAGCAGCAATAGCAGTATGATAAACCTACAAGTGTTCTGGTCTGACATCAAAGTTGAGAAGAAGAAGGCAGGAACAGTAAACTACAACAACAACAACAACACATGGAATGGCAGCAGTAACAGACTGGTCGACTGGTTGAAAAAAGACTGGTGTCTGGAGATATTTAGTATTTGAAACAGATCCTCAGGGACAAGGTAAAGAACTCCAGTGTTCCTGACTGAACTTGTGCAGAGCCCAAAGCTGCGTGTTGTTGTCATGGTGATAAGTCCCACCAAATGGACAGGTTCCTCAAGTCATAGTTGTTGCATTGTTTAGTGCTACAGAGGCGTTGTCACTGTTCTGTCAGCTCTGACTGATTAATGACCTGTCACTCAAATCAGTGGTAACAGCTTAGAAAGAGCAGCGCTCCATTTTTGGAATATTTCCTCTTCTGTTACAAAGCAAATCAGGTTTGTTCACAACAGTCACTGAACCAGGAAATCAATACAATCAAATACAATTAAAGAAACAGCAGGGAAGCAGTTAAAGTTCCTGATCTTTTCACAGTGAATTATGTCAAGTCATTTTGACTCTTAAACAGCTGCTTAATAAATCCTCATACTCAGTCCTTCTTACTTCTTATTTTTCAGTTATGGTTCTCACTTTGTTTTGTATCATGTTTGTCATGTTTTCTCTTCCAGTGATGACCAGCTGGAGGATTCAGACAGTGATGAGCATTCCCGATCAGAGTCGATAACAGGTAACTGTCTGTCATCCAAGGTCTGGTGCTGTGCTTGTTGTTAACTTGTAAATGAGCCACATCTGTGTGAATGTGATATTTGTCAGCGTCCTGGTGTCATGTTACAGTGTGGAAGGGACAAACCTCAAAGCTCTTCTCGTGCTTCTGTTTCAGGCCAGCCGTCTCAGTGGGAGAGCATGGACGTGAGCCTCGGAGTGACGGCGCTGAGTGTGCTCCAGCAGCCAGAGAAGCTCCAGTGGGAGGTGGTTGCCAGTGTGCTGGAGGACACGGTCAAGGACCTGGAGGAGCTGGGTGCCAACCCCTCACTAAACCAAGCCAAGGCCCACAGCCAGGCCAAAACAAAGGACAAGGTCCCTGACCACCACAACATTCCCTTCCCCTGCCTGCTGGCCGGAGGCCTGCTCAGCTATCGCTCAGCATCCAGTACCCCAATGGCTGGACCCCCATCCACAGCCCCATCTACAACACGCAGGACCACAGAAGGACCCCTAAGGACTCAGGGCCCTGAGCCCTTCCAACCTGGGTCTCTACCGGACCAGGGTCCCATGGAGATAGAGACCTGCAACCCCCAGACTGCAGCCCAGCAGCAAGGCTTCTCTAATCTAGCAGGTTCCCAACCTCCCAGTCCCTCCTCTCTGCAGCCTGTGCGCAGGACTATACCCGTACTGTTGCTGTACAGTATCAGAGAGGTGGATGACAAGTCCTCAGGGCAGGTGTTTGCTCAGATGAACAACATTATGAGTAAGGGGCTCCATGAGGAGGGTTTCACTGTGCCACAGATCATAGAGATGGAGTTTGACACACACGAGCAGCTTCTCCTTCAGGATCCTCCAATCACCTACATTCAGCAGTTTGCTGATGCAGCAACTAACCTGGCAGGGTTAGATGGTCACATGGACAAATGGAGCTCACTTGCTGCAGCAACTGTCTCCGCCCCGCCTCGACCTGGAGCACTGGTGCAGTGCTTGAGACTGCCCAAACAGCTGGAGGATGAGAATCTTTATGTGGACTCGATCACGCCCTGCTGGGATGGTGTGCACCTCCTGGTGGGTCTGCAGCCATGCGGCACTGAATCTCTGAGCGCTACAAACCAAGTGGAGGCTCTCAACAATCTCAACCGTCTGCACTCTGCCCTATGCAGCCAGCGCAAAGGAGACCCCCTACACCCAGTGGCCAACGGGGTGGAAGGCCACCACCCAGGGGAGTCACCGCCCCAGACACCCCTCATTCTGCCCCCAGGAGACCAGCAGCAGCAGAGGTCCGCGGGTGGGGGGAGTGGAGGGGGCTATCTTGCGCTCTACAAGCTCAACTACTCCACCCGTATTGTCACCTTGGACGAGGAACCCGTGAAGGTGCAGCAGATCTGGGACCCTTGTGATGCAATCACCTCTCTTATATTGCTTCCTCCAGATGTGCTTGATAGCAGGGAGGACGACAGTGAAGAAGCTCCTGAGGAGCCTCTTCCTTCTGCTCCCAAAAATGGCTTGTCTGGGTTTGGAATGGGCCTAGCAGGATCTGCTGGCTCTGGTGCTGCGTGTGGAGCAGCCACAACGAGCAGCAGCAGCGCTACTGTCACTGGTTCCTCCACCTCCGCCTCCAGCCCCAAAGACTGCAAGCGGTTAGAGGTGGCAGGCCTGGGTCACCTGGTGGTGACCACACGGGCTGGGTACATTATGATTCTGGACCTGTCCACATTAGAGGTCCTGGCCAAGGTGGAGCCGTCTAAGAAGGAGGGGTCAGCTGAGGAGACAGACCCCTTTGTATCAGTTACCTATTGCTCTGGGACCGATCGCCTTTGTGCCTGCACCAAAGGTGAGTGTCCTGTTTCTGGACCTGTTTGCCTGCAGACAGCAGTGCTGTTGACCACTGAAATTGACAGGAGGGCTTTAACTTGCTCCATGCTCATTGGTTCATAACTGAAGATGTAAATTTTGAGTGTTATTTTAAAGAAAAGCTCAGTGATCTCCTAAAACAGCTGGAAACTACTAGTTGTAACAAGTGTGATTCAGACGGAATTTATCCACATCTGGTGCTCAGTCATTACATCTGTCAGCAGGTGTGTACAGGATGAAGTAAAAATAAACTACAGTGGTCATGGTAACTAAGCAACATGTCACCTACTGTATATATACAGTATGTACTAGTGCAAGTCAGTCAGATTGTTGTAGTCAACAGTGGAGCTCAGGCTTTACACACAGTTTACTTACTTCATCAGGACCAACTCTCTTTTTATGACATTTGTTGACAATAACATATAAAATTTAATCACTGCTGTGTTTTTAGTGCACAATTAAACCATTTAATTACTGCCAGTGTCCATGACCATTTTTACTGATATAGAATGAAGTAATGTTGATATGTCATAATAAACCAAGAATGTTTAGGGCTGAACGATATGCAACAAATCATATCGCAATTATTTTGACAGACATTGTGATTTCAGTAGGAATGGTTGTTTTTTTTTTTTTTTTCATTTAATTTTCAATGAAAAAAATGTAAAAATGATGATATGATTTTTGTTGGTCTTGTACCAAACAAACATGTTCGTTTACATCTGGACAATATGATTTGTTGGCCAGGGCGTCTCTGTAGCACCGCAGCACTCGTGGTGCTGACAATGCACAACAATGTGACACATTTTACCTTCATCAAAAAACTGCAGCTCCTTTGATTTGGATATTGCACTGGGCCATATTGATATTTTGATAATGTTCCGATTATTTGTGCAGTCCTTATTGTTTTTAATCTGTCAGCATGTACTGTAATATATATAGGTGATTTGTACTTGCCGCTGTACAGCCCTGCTGTAGAATATGTTATCTTAATATGTTTTTATGTTGATTAATTTTACAGAACTCACTGTGTTCAGATTTTGTGGTGGTTCTGTGTCTGTAGATCTGTAAATCTTCATTTTGTATCTGCTCTCTGAAGGTGGAGAACTTCATTTCCTTCAAATTGGAGGTGTGTGTGACGATATAGATGATGGAGACATGTTTATTGATGGCCCCCTTTCTAAAGGGGCTGAACTGCTGCTTGAGGGGGCCAAGCCCTCCTCCAACCCTTCTAGCCCAGGGATCACAGGTAGACCTAACACAATGGCATATCACACCGCCTGGTCTGATGATGTATCACATGACAGGGCTGAGTTCTCTGGCCTCTCTCTGTGCAGGAGTGGACCTCCTGGTGGACCAACCGCTGACCACGGAGAGCCTGATGTCCCTGGTGGAGCTGACGCGCTTTGAGACATTGACCCCCCGCTTCTCAGCCACAGTGCCGCCATGTTGGGTGGAGGTGCAGCAAGAGCAGCAACAGCGACGCCACCCGCAGCATCTTCACCAGCAACACCACGGAGATGCAGCCCAGCACACCCGCACCTGGAAGCTTCAGAGTGATAGGTAGTGAAGTCATTCACTGAATGCATGACGACTTCATGCTTTACATCCTGTTTACATCCCCTCAAACCCACAAATTATCTCAACTGCAGTTCCAACATTTAGAACAGGATTTTCCCTCAAATAGAAGTAAGACATAGAATAATTACACCAGTTACAAATTCCAATAACATGAACATTTTTTTATTGTTCTACTTTACCAAGGCTCAGAATGTAACACTGACATGGTTCTTAGATTCTTAGAGGAACTGACTTAAAAAAAACTTTTCCTGAACATCTAAGCAATTGGTGCGCCGTCTTCTCATTGCAGCTCCAGCTGGGACGAGCACGTGTTTGAGCTGGTGCTGCCGAAAGCTTGCATGGTGGGCCATGTGGACTTCAAGTTTGTCCTGAACGCCAACATCGTCAACATACCTCAGATCCAGGTCACTTTACTGAAGAACAAGGCACCTGGGCTGGGCAAAGTCAGCGGTGAGGACACAGCTGGAAATCTTTTAATCACACACGAACACCTGGGACAGCAGATCTGTCTAAACTGAACTGGGATGTTTAGAATACCTACAACACCTTTTACTAACCAGGTTGAACTGATATGAATACAAAAACTGTCTGTGTCTGAATGTTGCTTCTCTCTCTAACAGAGACGGCGGTGGACAGACAAATCTCCTTCCCCCTCTCCAATGTCCTCCACACTAATGGGGAGAGGAATGGCCAGCCTGTCCTGCATGACTTCACAGAGGACATTCAGTTCATGGACATAGAGGAGACATCAGGTAAAGAATTCATCCTGTTTAGTTCGGGCCAAAGCACTGAGGGCACAAGAAACCTGTTGTTTTTTTTATTATTAGTATTCTGCTGGAAAAATACTGAATGTTTAACTCACACACGTCAGAACTGGCTGCTGTTTTTTTTTTTTTTTTTTGCTGGACAGAAAGCCATTTTGGATTTTGTGCATTTACCAATGAGGGCCTGATCAATGCTGTTTGCATCTTTAATTTTAGATGGGTTTTATTTTTAATTCATAAGTCTGACAGTTTTTTGCATTTTCTGACACTAACAATAATCAGGCACTTAATTTGTCCTGCATATAGCTGCTGATGACTGGAAGCATTTAACTCATTTCAAAAGTAAATTTATCGATTAATGAATGTATCACTGCCACCAAAATGACATTTCATTGTTTAAGCAAACAAAATGACCATAAACTCGTCTTCATGTGTGTGTTGTCTGTCTGAATCTGTAAGTTCTGTTATGAACATGATGCTGACTGAATTTCAAGACTGATCTGTGGTCAGTTCATGGCAACAATTATGTATTTTGAATGTAACAGTAGAAATGTTCATATTCCAGAGTAACCTACCAGGAACATGAGCGTGCATGTATTTGATTGGCCGCTGCAGAGCCCAGCTGACTGACACTGCGCTGCCTTACAGCAGATGTTGAGTCAGCTCCAACTTTTTTAGGGGATGACTTTGGGATTTTTCCAGAGGCTCCTGCATAACAAACAGCTCAGTGTACAATGGGTCACATGATCTAAGATTCTGATGTATAAAGAATGTGTTTGAACTAGTTGTTATTGGTGCTGTATCATATCATTAATTAATGCATAATTGGTTGTGGTTGATATGTTTATTGTAGGCTCCATGCTGTGTCCATTCCTAGAGGACCACAAGGAGGACATCCTGTGTGGTCCAGTGTGGCTGGCCAGTGGCCTGGATCTCTCTGGCCATGCAGGCATGCTCAGCCTCACTAGCCCCAAACTGGTCAAAGGTAACAACAGAGCTATCTGTCTGTGTCTGTGTCTGTGTCTGTGTCTGTGTCTGTGTCTGTGAGGGAGTGAGGGAGTGAGGGAGTGAGGGAGTGAGTGTGTGAGTGTGTGAGTGTGTGAGTGAGTGAGTGAGTGAGTGTGTGTGTGTGTGTGTGTGAGTGTGTGGGTGTGTGTGTGTGTGTGAGAGAGAGAGTGTGTGTGTGTGTGTGTGTGAGTGTGTGGGTGTGTGTGTGTGTGTGAGAGAGAGAGTGTGTGTGTGTGTGTGTGTGAGTGTGTGGGTGTGTGTGTGTGTGTGAGAGAGAGAGTGTGTGTGTGTGTGTGTGTGAGTGTGTGGGTGTGTGTGTGTGTGTGAGAGAGAGAGTGTGTGTGTGTATCACAGCCTGACACTACAGGTGTTTGTTAACAGTCATCCATGAAGCTGTGATAGCAGCAGTGTTTCTAAGTTGTCCTGTTCCTCCCTCCTCTGCAGGTATGGCTGGAGGGAAGTACCGCTCCTTCCTGGTTCACATTAAAGCAGTGAGTGACAAGGGCATGGAGGAGAGCCCCCGGCCTCTGGTCAGAATGCCCAGCGCCAAGCCCCAGGGCACCAAAGCCCACTCACTGTCCACCCTTCTGCAGCGGGCTCAGGCCTCCAAGGTACAGAGTCAGTCTGTATTGTTGAGCATGTTTTTTCTCAGGGTTCCCAGAGGTCATTCAAAAGTCTTAAAAAGTCTGAAATTAAAATAAAGGAAAGTGAGGTCTTAAAATGTCTTTAATTTGTATTTAAAGTTGCTGTAGGTATTTGATTTTGCAGATAGTGTGTTCAAGACTGGTAGAAAAAAACAAAGCCAATAATTATTACAGTGTTGCAGTTTCATGCCACTTGTTCCATGCTATTGTTGCTTTGTTAACAGACACAAATTTATTATTAATATGTGGTTATGCCGACACGCTGGGGGGATCTTACCTAATAGTTTACAGCTACAGTCTACAGGTCCACAGGTAGATAATTAGATTTTTAGTGAGAAAAGAAAGTCATTGTGCATAGTAATAAGGGCTAAAAAGTCTGAACTACAAAACACTAAACAGATGTTATTTTCCCTCTGATTATCTAAAAATTAATATGAAATTCTTTAGTAGGATTTAGAAAATGTTTAGCAGTAATAGTTATTTCTACCAACCTGCAAAATGCAGCTGCTGCGGTTGTTTAGATCTTTTAATGCTGTGTTTCTGTTTCTGTCGACTATGTGCTGTTGAACTCTATTTTAAAACATTATTTACATGAGAACAAAAACAAAAGTCTGAGTAAAAGAAATAATTTTGACATTGTTCGGTCTTTCATTTATTGAGGTCTTAAAAAGTTTTTAAAAAACATTGATTTTTATTTTTGATGCAGAAACCCTGTTTCTACTGCAAGGCGAACTGTACATATTTTATAAACAAACTTGTCTTGAGCCTAAAGGTTAGCCAATTTAGTCGGCTAGGCTATTGACTTTTCAATGAGGCTAATCTGGCTATTGTGAGATGCTAATATTTAAGCAATATCACACGAGAGAGAGTGAGTGTAAGGACTGATACACACTCTACCAGGTGATCCACCAAGGCGCCCCAGACTCTGTCTCTCTTGACATAATATTCGAAGTTGGTCCAAATGTGAACCTTTTCTGACCATTTACTGCTGTTCTTTTCTGAGCTAACTACTAACTACATCTGTAGCAAATATGAATCTAACACTAATTGACAAATTGGCACCAAACAGACAGTCTCGTTCATTGGTTTATTCGGTGTGTGTGTGTCTCTGTGTGTGTGTGTGTGTAGGAGAAGGTTTCTGCAGTGAAAACAGAGACAGCAGCTCCCTCAAAGAAAGCAGAGAACCTGCGAGGCTGCGACCTGCTGCAAGAAGTTTCAGTAACAATCAGAAGGTTCAAGAAGACGTCGATACCCAAAGAGAGGTGAGAACACTGCTGGAGCTCCTGTTGTCTCTGCTGCATACTACACATCACACCAGTCAGCTGTAACCCTCACTGTCTCTGTTGTGCTCTGCTGTTCAGGGTCCAACGCTGTGCCATGCTGCAGTTCCCAGACTTCCATGAGAAGCTGCTGGACACGCTGTGTCGGCGGACAGAGGGCAGCCCGGCCACTGAGCACGCCCAGAGCCTCATCCTCGACATCTTGTGCTGGCTGGCTGGGGTGTTCTCCAACGGTCCGTGCAGGTAGGGCTGAAGCTGGACACACAGCAGATGAGACAGAATCATTCAGGGCATGTAGGTCACACATTCGTTTCACTTTGACTTGATGATGAGACTCTATGTCGTGGCCTGTGTTTAGCTTAAGAGAAGGAAAGGAGGGACTGCTGGCAAAGACCCGGACACGGCTGACAGATATTGTGCGGGTGTGTTTCTTCGAGGCTGGTCGGAGCATAGCGCACAAATGTGCTCGCTTTCTTGCACTTTGTATTAGGTAAGTAACACGGTTGATTTCAGCTCTTTTCCACTACAGGAACCTTATGACCCTATGAACCTGCGGCTTCCCTTAGCCTGAACCTGTATGAATCTGAAAGCTCTGGGTTCTACATTCTGCCTTTTTTCCACTTGGCCACTCTGATTTCAAATCTGATCATTTAGATTTTACAGTACATGGATGAAATGGCGACTCTGGGTCACACTGAGTCAGCTCCTTTGGTGAGAGCAGTTCAGTTGCAGGAGAGACAACAGTGGATAAACTGGCACTAAAATAGATTTTAAAGTGTATTTTTTATGCCTTTATTTGATAGTACAGTAGAGAGACAGGAAATGGGGAGGCAGAGAGAGGGGGAATGACATGCACCAAAGGCCGTCCGATGCGGGACTCGAACCGGGGCCGACTGCAGCGAAGACTGTAGCCTCTACACATGGGGCGCCTGCTTAGACCACTACGCCACACGACGCCCCAGGCACTAATATAAATTTTCTTTGATTTTCTATTGCTTAATTATTAGGAACCCCACACTGAGCAGTTCCTCAGTTCTTCATGTCATGGATGCACCAGAGGTTGAAACTTTCCTCTGAGATTCTGCTCCATGTTGACATGATGCATCACATCATTTCTGCTGATTTGTCAGCTGCACATTCATGTTCTACCACATCCTAAAGGTGTTCTTCTGGAGACTGGGGGGGGGGGGGGCACTGAAGTTCACTGTACTTACTCTGAGTCTACCTGAAGGTGGATTTAGTATCACCTCCTGGGCAATGCTTAAATTTAGGTTCAGGAACTCACCAACAAGGCGGGTTGGGGGAGTGCAGTGGAGACTAAAGCGTATCCCTTAATTCATGGGTCGTCAAGTTCCTGCAGTGGAACAAGCCTGTGATGAAGTAGTTGTTCTGTCTTGATAACTTTTACAAATTCATACAGAGAAAATAATGAATAATAATAAATTATAAAATAATAATGTTTCATTTCTTGTAGCAATGGAAAAGGAGACCCAAGCCAACAGGGTTTGGGTGTCAGTCTTCTGAAGTCTCTCCTTGACAACATGCCTTACTTGACTGCAGCAGCAACGGGTGGTAAGTAACTGACCAACAATTCAGATCAACACACAGCACAGTTTTCATTTCCTATTACCCCCTCCCCCTCCTTTGTCTGTTTTCAGGGTCAGTGTTCTGGTACTTTGTGCTGCTCAACTATGTAAAGGAGGAGGACCTGGCGGGCTGCAGCACGGCCTGCGCCTCTCTGCTCACCGCCATCTCTCGACAGCTGCAGGATCGCCTCACCCCACTGGAGGCACTGCTGCAGACCCGGTACCTCTCCAGATATATACTTCAAGAGTGGCATGCTCTGTAGCAAACAGCATTTTATTCTATTACTGACGTTATTCTTAGCAGATGTCAGTAGTTCCACCTGCTGCTGAGGTGATGTCCAGGCTGCTTTCATATTTCCTTGTAAGGTTAATAAGACAATATTCTCTCCTTTTGCTCTGCTGCCTGTTTCCTGCAGGTACGGTCTGTACAGCTCTCCGTTTGACCCGGTGCTCTTTGACCTGGAGGTCAGTGGTTCCTCCTGTAAGAATGCCTTCAACAGCAGCATCGGAGTCCAGTCAGATGAGATCGACCTCTCTGACATTATTTCAGGTAGGCAGTCAGTTTTTTAACATGCTCACTGTGGAATGATGATAAAGACATATTAGACAGTCGCTGAAAATGAAGTTTGAGTTTACTTCAACTTATACAAAGCATTTGGTCAATTAATATATCAATTAATATAGTAATACTAGTTAGTTCAGTTGCTCATAGTTTGATAGCTTCTGTGAAACAATCACCAGAAACGGTTCTATTCTCTACCTGCCAAATCCTTTTCTGCCAGAGTCACAAATAGTTTTCAGCTGTTGTTTGGCACAAACATTCACTTGGACTCAAAGATGAAGTTTTTAGATTTTTGTGGTCAAAAGTCAAAGGTCACAGTGACCTCACGTTCTTGTGAATGTGATATAGTGTAGAAGTATTGTGCTCTAGCTTAAACGAGGCTCCTAAAGCTCGGGTGTTTTCTTGTCCTGAAGGAAATGGAAAGGTGAGCAGCTGTGCAGCAGCAGAGGGCAGCTTCACAGCGTTAACAGGACTCCTGGAGGTGGAGCCTTTGCACTTTACTTGTATCTCTACTAGCGATGGCACACGTGTGGAACGAGATGACGCAAGCATGTTTACTGGTAAACACCATTTATCTCTCATTCACTCAGTGTCGGCTCAGGTTTCACTGTATGAACTGGTCATTGCCTGAACCTCTGCTGTTAAACCTCAGTGAGTACATTTGGCGTGACCCCGGCTGTGGGCGGCCTGTCGACGGGAGCGGTTGGCGAAGCTTCTACAGCACTGAGTTCTGCGGCCCAGGTGGCGCTCCAGTCACTGTCCCACGCCATGGTGTCAGCGGAGCAGCAGCTACAGGTGCTGCAGGAGAAACAGCAGCAGCTGCTCAAGCTGCAGCAGCAGGTGAGACGACAACTTACTGTTACTGTTATACACAAGTTATGATCATTATTACAGGAACTTAATGAAGCCTAAAGTAATGAGAGGTCACTGTCACAGGTTCTGCTCTTAGATTTAACCAGAGTCAAATCCAAGTGTAGAGTTTTTGTCTGGAAGTTATTAACCAATCCAGTGTTTTTGTCTTGTGATGAGTAAGAATTCTTTGTCTTTGCTGACATCAGAAGGCCAAGCTGGAGGCCAAGCTACATCAGACCACGTCTGCAGCCGCTGCTGCCGCCTCTGGTGTGGGACCCATCCACAACTCTGTGCCTTCCAACCCTTCCTCTGCTCCAGGCTTCTTTATTCACCCCTCTGACGTCATTCCCCCGACACCTAAAACCACACCCCTCTTCATGACCCCTCCTCTCACGCCTCCCAACGAGGCCGTGTCGGCAGCCTTCAGCGCGGAGCTGGCTCACCTGTTCCCCGGATCCATGATGGACCCAGGGCCTGTCAACCTGGCTGCACACAAGAACACACAGAAAGCCAAGCCGGTTAGTAACATGCAGTGTGACGCTTGGCCAGTTAATGATAGCTGGGAGATACAAAAACTCTCAAGTAGTAAAAGCTGGCACCAAATGTCTGGTCAGATTCAAATTGTTCAGTTCATTCAGTAGAGAATACTCAACTGTACAAACAAAGGGAAAAAAAAACTGGGCTGTTGTATTAGCATGAGATCTGAAGGACAGTCAGTGTTAAAGACAATTGTTAGAGGCAGCCAAATGAAGTTAATGTTATTGTTTTTATCAATACAAGCAGATGGTAAAAGTTTTTTTTCTTTTGATTAAAATAAGTAAAATATTGTGATGAATTTTTTCTCTTTGATCCAGAGCCCCATTGGTAGTGGTCTGGCTTTGGCCATCTCCCAGGCATCTCACTTCCTGCAGCCTCCTCCTCATCAGTCCATCATCATAGAACGGATGCACTCAGGTATGTCATGTAGCACTGTTTCAGAATGGAAATGTCGACTAACTCAGACTCTTACATACTGAATCAAATATTTGGAACAACTTTAAGAGAAAAGAAAATGTCTGTTTAAATCATATTGTACTGACAGCTTCATATCTCAGCCTTGAAGAGCTCTAAAATGACATTTTTATTTCTGCTGCTCTTTCCTCCCAGGAGCTCGGCGCTTCGTCACGCTGGACTTTGGTCGTCCTGTCCTGCTGACTGACGTTCTGATCCCGACCTGTGGAGACCTGGCTTCTCTGTCCATGGACATCTGGACGCTGGGTGAGGAGGTGGACGGCCGCAGGCTGGTTGTGGCGACCGACATCAGCACCCACTCTCTCATTCTCCACGACCTGCTGCCGCCCCCTGTCTGCAGGTTCATGAAGGTCTGTGTTCAGGACGGTCACCCTCATGTTGTGAGTTGTTTGTGCTTTTGTTCGTTTACCACAATGACATTCTCTCCTCATTTGCCCCCTAAAACCATCAGATCACAGTGATTGGTCGCTATGGCAGCACCAATGCTCGGGCAAAGATCCCACTGGGCTTCTACTATGGCCACACTTACATTCTGCCGTGGGAGAGCGAGCTTAAGTTGATGCATGATCCTCTGCGGGGAGAGAGCGAGGCGGCCAGTCAGCCAGACATAGATCAGCACTTGACCATGATGGTGGCGCTGCAGGAGGACATCCAGTGCAGGTGAGATGTTTGTCTGACTGACCCAGAATCTGTTCATTGGATTAGTCATGTTCTCAAACATTAATGAAACAATAAATGTCATCATGGGGGACATCTCTCTTATATCCTAAAGGTCAAAGGTCAACTTCAGTGACATCATAATGTTCTGCAAAAACTGTCATGCTGTAGCCCAGGGGAGATTGTGACTATATTTACTGTAACTTGGCTGGTTGGATAAGGCGTACAATCACGAGGTGGTGATTCTAGTTAGCAGATGTTAGTTAAACAGGAGGAAATAGGAGGAAGTGCATATGTGCAACAGTGTGGCTCATGGATTTTAATGATCTGGATTAAGGCAGAGATGCACTTGGGTAGTCGTGGATTAGTAATATGAGGCTCACTGCCAAAAATATTGACTGCAGATTTTAACAGGGCTGTGTATAACTTGTAGTCAGACATGGCTGCTGTCACTTTGTCAGCTCTGTCTTTATGAAGATTTAAAATCTGATCTGGCACAGAATCAGGTTCTGCTCATGAAACTGTCCATGTGTTAAAGCTAAACAATTCTGTCAAATATTCATCTCATCTGTTCTGTGGTACTGAATGGATCTATTGGGAATCTCAAAGATAGAACTGTAGGGAAGGAGTGTGAGATGCCCAGATTTGGATCCACATTATTTTCTCAGGGGAAACCAGAAGATTCAGGATGTGGTACAGATGAACCAGTTAAAGTGTGTCAGATAAGGGACTTACTACTCTCTCCTGTTCTTGTTATAGGTACAATCTAGCATGCCATCGACTGGAGACACTTCTGCAGAACATTGACCTGCCGCCTCTCAATAGCGCCAACAACGCCCAGTACTTCCTACGAAAACCAGACAAGGTAGTGGAGGAGGACCAGCGTGTGTTCTCAGCCTACCAGGACTGCATCCAGCTGCAGCTGCAGCTCAACCTGGCTCACCACGCTGTTCAGCGACTCCGTGTGTCACTCGGTGCCAGCCGCAAGTCACTCCCCACGGCCGGGGCTGTGGAGGCCCAGGAGCTGGTTCAAAACTCCTCCACAGAGCAGCTGAGGACCATCATCCGCTACCTGCTGGACACACTGCTCAGCCTGTTGCACTCCAACAATGGTGAGCGGGAGATGGGAGTGTTATATAGTGGAGATGACAGGGTTACCGTTGGTTGGATTTTTACCTGAATTGAAGAGTTGGACAGCATCCTGATTAACACAGTTCATACTTCATCCTTTCATGTGTATCTGTTTTCAGGCCACTCTGTGCCCTCGGTGCTCCAGAGCACATTCCATGCCCAGGCCTGCGAGGAGCTCTTTAAACACCTCTGCATCAGTGGGACACCCAAGATCCGTCTTCATGCCGGCCTGCTGCTGGTGCAGCTCTGTGGAGGCGAGCGTTGGTGGGGCCAGTTCCTCTCTAATGTCCTGCAGGAGCTCTACAACTCTGAGCAACTGCTCATCTTCCCCCAGGACAGGTACAGGCCTCTGAGTGCATGTACTTACATTATAGTAACATGTTCCCAGGGCTTTTTAACGCATTGATAATTATGAAAGTAAATGAGTCCCCCCCCCTAAGTTATAATCCTTAAGATTTTCATTTTAACAGTCTTCTCTGTGACTGGACCACAACAGTGGGGCTAGTCCTGTACATACAGACTGTGACTGACTGAGTGATGGAATTGGTGGGTCGGCTGAGTGTTGGAGTTTCCTCTCTGGCCATTGCTCTTTCAAAATGACTTGGCAAAAACAGTTTGTATTAGGAGGCGTTTGCAGTGTTGCCATCTGAGCACATTTGTCGCTAGATTTAGGCTTTTTCTAACTTCTTGCTGTTATCATAAGTAACCACAGGTGTTAGCAGATAAACCAGGACTTAAGTCTTAAGGATAACAGTTGTAAAGCAAGGGCAGTGTGTCCTGCTAAATAGATAATTAATATATAAATACATTAATTAGGTAAGAAAACATCACAGTAATAAAATATGTTTTCCCAAATGACACCATGTCTGCACCATCAGTTGTTCCTCTGTGCCAAAAAAACCAAAAAATATTTCTTGAATCTGACACAGCTGGTTGAGTCATATAAAGAGCCTCAGTGAATATATCTAAAGTGAAGTAATATTTTAATAATAATAATTGATTGATAATTCTTCTGTCTCTGTGAGTGAAAAGGGCAAATCTTTCAGTCTGATTTTTTTTAATTAAATGCAGGGCTTAAAGTATTCTGGCACCGTGCCGGATCTCCAGCGTAACGCTGTGAGAGAAAAAATTAAAAGTCAATAGTTTTGGTTGCGGTTTATGTTCATAGGTTCATGTTCGAGGTAATAAAGTTAATCTACCAATGGTATGACAGGAACGCAGCTCTTGCTTGCTTACTAGCCAATCAGAAGCAGAGGATCCAGCAGCTTGAAGGAGCTGTGTGCTTGTTTCTGCACGCTGTGCTCGAGGAAGCTGCTATCTGCCACCAGCGCCAATAAAGTGCTCTCTCGTCATGAATTGGACCCCGGTCATAATGCTGCTGTCCGCGCACTCCAACATACAACTACTTTACCGGGAGCGACAGTTACAGTTGACACTCCATCATCAATGACTGACTGTGTCTGCGATCAAAAAATGTGTGTGCGCATGTATTTTTTTTTTTTTTTTTACTTTAAGCCCTGTAAATGTTTTCATGTCGGTTGGTGAGCCAGTTCACTGATGCCTCAGTGCAGCTTCAGAGAAATGTTTCGCACCGTGGTGCAGTTCTGTGGGACAGATTCTGTTAGACAGTGCACCTGTTTGGACAGAACCTGTTCTCCTTCAAACATCTCAAGCATCTCTTGGGTTTCAGCTTTACTAACTGCAGTGTTTTCTATCTCTCTCCATCACAGGGTGTTCATGCTCCTGTCCTGCATTGGCCAAAGATCCTTGAGTAACAGTGGTGTGTTGGAGGGGCTCCTCAACCTGCTGGACAGCCTGCTCTCCCCCCTGCAGCAGCCACAAGCTGCAGCCCAGCGCAGGACTGAAGGTAAACAACGTCACGTGACACAGCAAAGCTTTCAGATCTGTGGCCTGTAGGACAGAAAATACAGGCACAGTCACACAGTATATCTCTGAATGTGCGCATGTGGCAGATTATGCATTTGAAGAATGAAGTACAAGAGTGTGTGTTTCTCCAGGTGTTTTGGATATCCCCATGATCAGCTGGGTGGTGATGCTGGTTTCTAGATTGTTGGACTATGTGGCCAGTATAGAAGACGAAGCCTCTGGTGCAAAGAAGCACCTTGGTGGAAAAGAGCGGGAGAGATCATTTACAGGTATATGACCTTCAGTTTAAAGATTTTATTTCACTGCTGACTTTTTGAAGTTTTTCATATTTAAAGGAAAATAAAAAAGATGCATTTTTAACAAATTGTTTCCTATCCCATGCTGCTCACAGCAGGTTCACTCTGGATGTTAATTACCCTTGAACACACACATTGTGACTCTGTAGACTCAGTAGAATGATTGAAAATCTATCAATACACTTCACATTCCAGTGCTCACACTTGAGCTCAGTCTGGTGTTTTCCCCTGACACACCTCCTCCTCATGTAGCATCCAGCATCTCTGTGTGATCTAACTCACATGTAACCCACAGCAGTGAACTGATCAGTGTTGTTATTGCTGTGTCCTTCAGGTATTCAGTGGAGCTTCATCAATAACAGCCTTCAGTCTCAGAACTCCAGCAGGTCGGCTAAAAGCAGCAGCAGCCTGGACCGACTCTACTCCCGCAAGATCCGCAAGCAGCTCGTCCACCACAAGCAGGTAAATGTGTCTCATTCCAACACCACCTGTAAACACACACTCACTAATATGTCTTTAAATACAGCTGCAAGGTTCAAGCAGATAGTGAAACATCACAAAATTGTGATTCAAGTGTGATAGAGATGTTTTCTCATGTCTGTTTGAAGCTACAGCATTAAAATGGGTTGTGTATAGCATATACCTTTGCAGTGCCTGTATTTATCATGCCCTTTTTATTGTAGCAGTTGAATCTATTGAAAGCAAAACAGAAAGCTTTGGTGGAGCAGATCGAGAAGGAGAAGATCCAGAGCAACAAAGGCTCCTCCTACAAACTGCTGGTTGAACAGGCCAAGCTCAAACAAGCCACGTCCAAGGTGAGCAGCTCACTGTGCACACAGCTCACAGTCTGCAGCTCCGTCACGTTCTCAGCTCACACATCACTGAAGAGAGATGGGGTTAGAGAGCTTTTCTCCTGAAGTTTGAGGTGTAGGTGCAGGAAAGGAAGACAGTTAGGCGTTATATTCAGTCTTCTCAAAACAGGTCAGCTTAATTCTCTTGTGTCATAAAATCAACAAAACCAAAAAAACACATACAAATTAAAACTCTATCTTACTGATGGAACACAAGTGCTGATCCTCTCTGCTCAACCTCAGTCTCTTATATACTGAGTCTCTTCACCTTCCTCGTACTAAAGCAATCCGCTCATCTGATTCAGCTGGGCAGCACCCATTGTCCTGGCTGCCCTGCTGACTCTGTGGGCTTTGTAGTCTTTTGCTGGCAGCCATGGTGCAGCGACCAGGAGGGAATGTATCTCCCCTCTATTACACTACCTCTCATGACATCACAGTATGTTTTACAGTGTATTGTCTCCATGTTTGAAGACGGTCGCTGTTGTTTCTGTCTCTGAGGTGAATCTGTTGATACAGCAGTGAATTCCAGATGAGATCACTATATATCTATAGTGTGTATATATAATTAAAACAAATACCATCCCTTATGTGTGTGCGCATGTATAAAAGTGAAGAAAAAGCCATTAGATAAAAGTGAAGATTAAGAACAGATTTAAAAGAGGATACTGAGTTTGCTCACCTGAGATCCTCAGGTAGGGGGGTCCTGGTTGTCCAAGTTGTAAAACTCTCAGGGAACCAGTGAAGCGCAGAAAACACACTGCAGGATCTGCTGGTAGATGTGTTGAGGATGCCTCGTGTGTTTGAAGAACATAAATTGGTCTGTTCTCACATGATTTACATAGAGCTTTTGACACAGTGGACCTGCTTGTTATATACTCTTCCAGCACTTTAAAGACCTGATCCGTCTGCGGCGGACAGCTGAATGGCCCCGCTCCACACTGGACACTGAGTCCCCAACAGCCAAAGAAGCCCCAGAGGTAGAACCTCTACCCTTCACACTGTCCCATGAACGTTGCATCTCCGTAGTGCAGAAGCTGGCTCTCTTCCTCCTCTCCATGGACTTCACCTGCCACGCTGACCTGCTGCTCTTCGTCTGCAAGGTATCTGTGTGACACATCAACATGTGAGAGTTTGTGAATTCTGCAGATACTCATAGATAAATTCTTCTGTTACCCCTCAGGTCCTTGCTAGGATAGCCAATGCCACAAGACCCACAATCCACCTGTGTGAGGTGGTGTCTGAGCAGCAGCTGGAGCGCCTGCTGCTCCTGCTCGTGGGGACGGATTTCAACCGAGGGGACATCTCCTGGGGGGGTGCATGGGCACAGTATTCCCTCACCTGTATGCTACAGGACATCCTGGCAGGTATGTGTGGTCCGCTTGTGGTTTAGTATCACATAGTTCTGTGACTGGAGTTTGAGCCTGACACTAACTGTGTGAACTGTGTGAAATGTGAGTCTTTTATTCAACTTTACATTGATAAACCAATTATTTGATCACCAGAAAATTAATCAGCAGCTATTTTGGTAATGGATTAATATTTTTTCAAAATAAAAGGCAATCATTTGATGGTTCCAGCTGTTGATTGAACAGAACAAGTCATTAAAATATCACCAGAGCTTTGCAGCTTTCTGGTGTTTTATAGAATAAAACGAGTGATTAATATAAGAAAATAATCAGTAGATTAATAGATAAATAAAATAACCATTGGCCCCACTCCTAACTTTCATACATGTGGGCTGCCCTAAGGCTCCATATTAGGGCCTCTTATATCTCTTAAACATAAACATGCATTTCCATGTGGCGTTGTCGTCCTTTAATCCTGACTGACTGTTGTTGCATATGGTATGCCTGCAAATGTTTCACAATAAAAGCCCTATTAAGAAATTGAGGGTTTCTGTCCAATGAAACGCGAGAGGTCTGTTAATGTGAACCAGTTACAGGAAGTATTGAGTTTGTATTAAACAGTTTATTTTTAAACACTTCATTGTCATTTTGTTGGGTCCTCAGGTGAACTGCTGTCTCCAGGCTCACTGGACGTCATGGAGGAGGTGGCTGTGGGTGAGGAGGCTGGGGCGTCCTCCTCCTCAGTGGGGGCTGATTCGGATGACTCCCTTCCCCAGCCGGCACCCATCCCCCTGGTAGAGAGCATTGATGAGGCCCTGGTACCTGATATCATCGCAGGTACAACCGCGACCTCCTCAGTATTCCAAAGTGCGTGGGTAGCCCCGACCATCCTCCACACAACACCACACACATGTTGACATGAACCCACACTGTCTGTCATCACAAAGTGTTTATGTGGTAAAATGTTCTCCTCTCTTTTCATAACTACTTGTTCTGTCTTTCTGAGTAGATTAGAAGTGATAGTGTCGTGTCTTTTGCAGTAAATCAGTGTGTAGTTAACACTCCACTGGAAAAACCTGATGCTTCTTTTGAGTACACTGACTTTGATTATTACTGTGTTGTGTGTCTGGACTGTCCCTCCAGAATAAGAGCATAAGAGCTAATATGTTGATCGGCATTAAAATTGCCCAGTGAAGTGCTTAGAACGTTTCTTGCTTGTATATTGATCTAGTGTGCTTGCTTGGCAATATTAAAGCTGTTTTCATTATCCAAAGGTGCTCCACCTCTGTCATCTTTGGAAAAAGATAAAGACATAGACTTTGACTTGCTACAAGACCTGATGGATGTTGATATTGATCCTTTAGATATTGATTTGGAAAAAGATCCACTCGCTGCCAAAGTGTTTAAGGTATGTTGATGATGTTCTATTCTTCTTCTTCTCTGTTTACTCTGTCCCTGTCTCTGCTTGGTACAAAGTTAATGACTAAAGTCATTCATCAATATAATTGAAAAGAATAAAGAAGAATGAAAGTATCATTTTTATATATATATATAGTGTATTTACAAGAAAAAAGAAAAGAATATTTGAAGAATAAAGTTGAATGTTTGAAGAAAAAAAGTTGTATGATGGAGGAGGATGTTGGAGAATTTATGATAAAAAGTCTAATTATGAAATAAAGTAAATAACTTCATAAGGAAAACAACTTTTTAACAATTTTGAAATTATAAAAGATTAGTTTTATACTTTGTAGTAATCAGGTGGTAGAAATCTGTCAGCTTTTGTGACAAATGAAAGGATGTGGATGTCGTCAAGTGACGTATGTAAAAGTGTAATTATTCTTTAAATATTCTTTAAATATAATGTTTTTTTTGTAAAATTACTATTCTCATATTCTCAGGAAGTTACAATTTTTTCTTAAAATATTCTCCAAATACATTTTTCTTTTGCTGGCAGTTCAGTTTATTCTGTATAATATGTTGAACCTGTTCACAGCTGGTTGTATTCATTGCGTCGTTCTGTAACTGTACAGTTAACTTACAGATCAGTTTCAGATTCTGAATCAAATGAACTTGAACCCTGAGGCTGCTGTCCCTCCATGTGTTTCTGTGTCAGGCCTGGATTAAAAAGCTTTTATGCAGCACACATTTGTCAACTATTGTTTGCAACAGAGAACAAAAATTCAAAGTGAATAAGGGGGAGTGAAGTGATGTCTCAGGCTCTTTCTGATGTTTTGCCCTGTTCACAGTAGAATGACTGTAAACTTCTTTACCCTCATGTTTCCCACCCCCTCCTTCTCCTGTCTGTTCTCAGCCTATAAGCAGCACCTGGTATGACTACTGGGGTGCTGACTATGGCACATATGGGTACAACCCGTACATTGGAGGGGTTGGTATCCCTGTCTCCAAACCTCCAGTTGCTGCTGAGAAGCCCGGGTCACAGAGTCTGTCAGTGTCCGTGTCACAGGGTGAGCAGAGGCTGAGATTTACAGGTACACATCATGTTTTTTCTGTCCAGTCTTTGAGCAAGCGTTTTGACCTCTTTCCTTCTGACCTCTGTTGTACAGCTCTAGACGCCCGGCTAGAAGTGGGCCTTGAGCAGCAGGCTGAGCTGATGCTCAAAATGATGGCAACTCTACAGGCCGACTCCATTCTACAAGCCCTCACCTCCAGCTCCTCCACAGGTAACCACACTAACACCGTCACTGCTTGTCGATTAGTGAATGGAAGTGCTCAACAACCTGCAGACAAAATATTCTTTACAGAGTTTATAATGACAGCCTGTTTGCTGTCTGACTTTCAGTCAGCCAGGCCTCCAATGGGACCGATGACTCCCTGCTGAGGGCCCTCCATGGAGGAGGCTCTCCTCCAGGCAGCAGCATCATAATCCAGCCCTCGTCCATCCCCATGCTGAGTGCCTGCTTTAACAAGCTCTTCTCCATGCTGCAGGTCCACCATGTACAGGTCAGAACACAGTCTGTCTAACATATTTGTGTAAATGTTGATATAATACGTTCAGTGGAAAAATCTTCACTCATACAGACTCATGTCTGGAGGGACCGACTTCATCCCTGGATCTATGTGGATTTATCTCATTTCTTATCTTTACAATCTGTATAAGTCTCATGTGGACCTACAGTGAGCAGCCGTTCACTTGTGGAATGGATTGAGGTCAACACTCTGACTCTGCCACAATTGTAGTTTTGACAGAGTATTTTCTGTGGTTTTCTTTGGTAGAGGCAGGTCTCTGTCGACTGCTGTCCTTCTTGCTGTAGTGTAGTATAATCTGTTTACACTGTAATTCAATTTACTTCACCGCTGGCTGGCCCGTCACTGTAGAGAGCAGGGATATAGTTTTGAGGATAATTGGCTCTTCTGGGGCTGCCCTGACCTGCTGAAGGCAGACGGCCTTCATGCTGCCGGAAAAGGCGCTGCTGTTTTGTCCAGTAATATAGACAGGTGTTTACAGCAGGTTTGACACTAGGGACATAGTGCCCAGCAGGTTGCAGGTGATTAGAGAGCCTACTAGGGTGTTAGGAAGTGCGGTTTTGGAGTCCACTAGCTTAGAATCTAAGTCTAGGGAGTAAAATCCCCCTGGCATAGACTATCCGCCTGATAACCACATTTGTAGTATTGAGACTGTCTCCCTCCCCCGCCGTACTACTCATAAGTTTTTTAAACATGCAAATTCCCACACATTGGCCACCATTCCTATAACCTGTGGCAATGAAGTGTTCTACAAAGCATCTGACACATTTCTCCAAAACAAAATCTCTACTGTATTCCACACCGTCACGTGCGCAGGCCCTCTAATTTTTCCATAGAAATAAGATAAAAAGATGTTTCATTCCTATAAAGGCTTTGTCTACCAGAAGCCTCACTGACCAGCTTGTTGTTAATAACTCCAGCCTTAACAGGACCCTCAAATTTGGCTTCATGAACATTAAATCACTGTCTAGTAAAGCATTACTAATAAATGACTTGATTCTTGAGCATAAGCTGTATGTGATTGGTCTCTGTTGGGGGGTGGGGGGGAGTGGGGGGCTTTAATCTTTAAATCAGATTTTTTCAGGTTAACAACTAAACTGGAAGTGATCTTTAACACTTTTGAGGCTCTTTTACTGAAACCTTCTTCATCAGCTAAGATTACCCCTCTCCAGGATGACAGACTACGACCATTTCATCTTGTGGTACTTTACAGACCACCAGGCCCTTATTCACAGTTTTTAGAAGAATTTGGTGAATTTATCTCAGGTCTTGTCGCTTCAATTCACTTGAACAAGGCCTGGGATCCTCTTAAGTACAGCCTTTCAAGCAATCATCACTTTTGGGTTCACCCAGTTTGTGACTGAACCAACTCACTGCAATGCCAACACTCTAGACTTGATCTTATCTCATGGAATTGAGTTATCTAGTCTGACTGTCTTTCCCGCCACTTCTGCCATCTCTGATCACTTTTAAGTTTGAAGCAACACTAGCCTGTCCTCACATTACTACCTCAAATGTATTCACCACGCGCCACATTGGTCCAGCGACTTTAGCTGCTCTTGCTGAGAAACTACCTGAGGCCCTCACTCCATTCACTGAAGCAACTGACTCCGTTGAAATTTGCACTAGTAAATTAAACACACCTCTGTCTAGCCTCTTGGACTCAGTTGCTCCTCTCACCACTAAAACCACACAGTTAAAGAGGTCTACACCGTGGTTTACTAAAGAAACACGAGCCCTGAAGCAGGCCTGCAGGAGATTGGAGCACAAATGGCGCAAATCAAAATCTGAAGCACTCTCCTTTCAGTGAGTTAAAATACAAGCATGCTCTCTCCACTGCTAGAGCAGCCTTCTTCTCTCAGTTAATCAGTAACAATAAACACAATCATAGATTTCTTTTTTACAGTGCAGCTAAACCCACTCAGTAGCAGCCGTCTCTTAGCTGCTCGCCCTTTACAGCCCATGACTTTCTAGACTTTTTCAGTAATAAAATAGATTAGACATACAATCACCTCTTCTCCAGCTTCTACAGAACCAGCAAAGCATTACATTGAGTCCCTTTTAACTTCTCCTTTTAACAAATTTCAAGACTCTCTTGAAGCACTTTCTAAGCTGGTGTTGGCTTCTAAACCCACCACCTGTCTACTGGACCCTCTACCAGCTGGGCTCTCCAAAGACCTCTGGCCAATCTTGGGACCTTCAGTGCTGAACATTATTAATTTATCACTCACTTCTGGCACAGTTCCCAGTAGCTTTAAGACTTCTGTGGTGAAACCTTTACTTAAAAAACTGCACCTTGATTCAGGATCCTTGAATAATTATTATATATCTTATATAAGCGTTGAACCTTCCTTTCTTTTCTAAAGTACTGGAAAGAGTTGTGTCTCAGGAGCTTTCGTCTCATTTGTCTAATAATCTTTTTGAACCGTTCCAGGCTGCCTTGGCCCTGGCCTGTCACTCCGCTGAGACAGCGCTCACTAAAGTAGTAAATGATCTTCTGATCTCCATGAATTTGGACTCCACCTCTGTGCTCCTCTTGCTGGATCTCAGTGCAGCTTTTGATACTATCGATTGTTTTTTTCATTGTATTCTCTGAGACCTACTTGAAAACAAATTTGGTGTTTCTGGCCTGGCCCTCACCTGGTAAAAGTCCTACTTATCTGACAGAACACAGTGCATCTCCTATAATAACAATAATAATCGACATACTCTTCTGTGAAACATGGTGTACCCCAGGGCTCTGTTCTTGGCCCTCTGCTTTTCTCTCTATATATTTCACCTCTTGGTCAAATTATTCACAGTCATGGAATTAATTTCCATTTGTTCCATTATGTGCCTATAAAGGCTGATGATTCCTTTCACTGAAATGTGTTAAAAATTTTGTATTCAGTGGTCACATCAGCTGACGAACAATAACCTTTAACTTTGGAAGAAAACAGAAAGTAAAATCCACAAGACTTTGTTGGCATTAATTTAATTTCACCTTTTTTATCTGCATTAAATCCACTTGTTCCATCTAAACCCTGACTCTGTATATATGTTGCAAAAAGTGATCCATGAATGTGGTTTTCATCCGAACCATCTTCATACTGGATTTTAGAGACTCAATATTTGTTTTCACATTTAAACTCATTCTCTCTTCTGTCTCAGCTGGAGTCTCTGCTGCAGCTGTGGTTAACACTTAGTCTCAACACCTGCTCTGGCAGCAGTGAAGAGACTGGCTCAGACATCTTCCTATTCAACGCCAGCCGAGTGCCCACCATCCCGCTCAACCAAGGTCAGGACCACACACACACACACACACACACACACACACCTTCTGAACCTGTGCTGTGGAGCTATAGAAGCCGAGTTTGTCATATTGCTCTACATTATATTTTCTGTGTGTGTGTCCAGCATCCATCAGCAGTTTCCTGTCAGTGCTGGCGTGGTACCCCAACACCTCCCTGAGGACGTGGTGTCTGGTGCTGCACTCTCTCACTCTAATGACCAACATGTCAGCCTGCGGTCAGTACCCTGTCACTGGTTTCCTCCTGTGTTGTCAGTGCCTGTGAGAAGTTGTAGAATAAGTCACATGATCAGATTTCTCTCAGAGAGACAGTTTGTATATCAGTGTGTTAGTTCTCATGTCCACAGTAACTAACTGATCAGATGGGAACAGTCTATGACAATTAGTGTAAAATAAAATGTTCATCACTATATCGACACAAGACATTAGACTGACGTAAAGAATTATAACAGAAATAGAACTAAAATGTTTTGTGAATTATGCTTAAGCCCTGATCATGGATCTGATCCCAGAGTCACATTATTCTTTTCAAAATGCCCATGTTTACTTATTGTTTACTTTTGGTATGTTTATGAATTAGATTTTCCTACAGTGTAGCTCATGAATGTTTTTCATTATTCAGTTCCTCCTATAGAAATCAATGCATCCTTGAATGTTCTGTCTGTAATTGATGAGCAAAATGTTCCCTGCTGGAAAATTCATGAGCACAGCACAATAACATAAAGTAACTCTGAGCAGACAAGGTCAACTGTGATGAATTACTAGTGTAATGACAGGTTTAAGTCTCTGAGGTGAATTCCACTGTGTCATAAAATAATTGGAAACTTATTCAATCTAAACACCCAGTACTTGCCTGAAAGGAGTCGGTGTACAACACAAGGTGAAAGTCATATCAAAATACTTCAGTGCATCTGTGTTAGGATGTATAACTTAGATTTATGTGTAGTATGTTTTTCTCTTATGTTCAGTGATTTGTATAAACCTGTCTGAACCTCCAGCCTCCAGCAGTGGGTTGAGTTCTCAGGAAAGCACCGCTCAGCAGATGGTATCTGATCCCACCCTGGTCCACGCCCTGGTGCGCTTCCTTTCCGGCAGCAGCACCAACGGGACGAGCCAACACACCTCTCAGGTGGGACCCACTGCCACCCAGGCCATGCACGAGTTCCTGAGCCGCCTGCAGGTCCACCTGTCCTCCACCTGTCCGCAGATGTTCAGCGAGTTCCTGCTCAAACTCATGCACATCCTGTCTACTGAGAGGTAGGTTACTGCTTCTCCATGATTAGTCATTAAAAGAATCATAGTGACTGGTATAGTCAGTGGTCTCTGGGAACTAACGGTTAATCTTAAAACTTCAGGGGTCCATTCCAGTCAGGTCAGGGTCCCCTGGACGCCCAGGTGAAGCTTTTGGAATTTACTCTGGAGCAAAACTTCGAGGTGGTGTCAGTGGCCACCATCTCCTCTGTCATCGAGTCCATCACGTTCCTGGTTCACCACTACATCACCTGCTCAGATAAGGTGGTCTCCCGCAGCGGCTCCGACAGCTCTGTGGGTGCCCGCGCTTGTTTTGGCGGCCTGTTTGCCAACATCATCCGTCCAGGAGATGCAAAGGCAGTGTGTGGAGAGACAACACGTGACCAGCTGATGTTTGACCTCCTCAAGCTGGTCAACGTGCTGGTGCAGCTTCCTCTGTCTGGAGACAGAGAGTTCAGTGGACGGCTGCCGCCGGCCTGCAGCGGAGCAGCAGACAGTAGTGTGTCTGACGAGGAGAAGGTCTGCGGCAGTAAAGAAAGTGTGAGCGGAGGATCCGCATCCAGTCAGGGTCCTCCTGCAGGTGTGGCCGACCTGGTGCTGGCCAATCAGCAGATAATGAGCCAGATCCTGTCAGCACTTGGCCAGTGCAACAGCAGCGCCATGGCCATGATCATAGGTAAGACAAACCTGACCCCACAGCTCCTGTCAGCTCATTGTTTTAGTTTCATGGCCTGTAGCTTTATAGTTCTGATGCATGTTCCAGAGCAGCAGCTTTGGCAGCTAAAGGCCAGAGATTTTTCTCAGGAGCTAAAAGTATAATAGATATTGGACGAACATTCATCATGTGGACGTGAACATAGCTCCAAATGAAGGTTAAAAACTGTTTGCAAATATGTTCACAGTTGTGATTAAGGGTGCAACAGTCAGCCACATTAACAGTCAATAGTCTGTTAACAGTTTATGAAATAAGTGTTTTTTCCATAATGAAACCATTTAACCGTGTTTAACCACTGATGAGGCCTAAAGTCAGTGCACTGTCAGTTAAGATATTCCTAAGATATTACATTTTTAATGGCAGTTAATGGATAATTGATTAATCATTGACATCCCCAGTCATAATATGTCAGTGTTGTGTTCACAACTGTCCCTAAGTGGCAAAAAAAATCAGTGACTTGAACTTTAGATATAGAACTGTCGGAAGTTGAAGCACAGACACGTTAATTTTACAGAGGTTACATTTACTGGAAAAGTAAAAATGCTAAAATGACGTGTAACTCAAGAACAAGTTGAAAAGAGTCATGAACTCCTTGATGTAAGTTACACAGGACTGGTTAGCATATTTAGCATTTAGCATCAGACAGCACAAGCTTCTGTTTTATTGCCTATGAATTTAACTTTTTGTATGTAAGAGGATGAATTATTTTATTGACCATTTGATTGAAATATTTGCTGCTGGCAGCTGACAGTGGTCTCTTTTCTTCAGGAGCCAGCGGTCTCCACCTGACCAAACATGAGAACTTCCATGGGGGTCTGGATGCCATCTCAGTCGGTGATGGCCTCTTTACCATCCTCACCACCCTGAGTAAAAGGGCCACGTCGGTCCAAGTCATGTTACAGCCCATCCTCACCTACATGGCCTGTGGTTACATGGGTAGACAGGTGAGAATCAGACTGCGCTGTTTGGCCTTTAAGGATCTGATATTTAAATTAAATAAATGTCACAAGTAGTAAAATACCAGTTCTTTTAATGTATGTGTTTTTAATTATAAATTTTGTAGGGGTCTCTTTCCACATGTCAGCTGTCAGAGCCTCTTCTGTGGTTCATCCTCCGAGTGCTGGACACCAGCGAGGCTCTCAAGGCCTTCCATGACATGGGTATGTTCTTTACCGTGCTTCATCACTCAGCTTTACTCACCTCAACCTTTTAAGGGTTTTTCCATTTCTGTGGTTTAGTCACTTTGTAACAGTTGAGCTGCCCCCGCCACAGTGAAGTTGTTTACCTAAACCTCACTGGATGTAGCTGTAGTTATATTCCTGCTACTGGCTGCCAATTTCAGGCCGGTTTCTCCTCCACTTATGCTTCCGGCCGGTTGCTGTTTTCAAAATCCCCTTGGTGGGAAGCCGACACCGTCCTCTGAGCTGCAGCCTACACACTGAAAATGTCACGTTACGATCAAGATTTGGATCATGTGCAGTCATGCACTCGACATACGTTAATGTTTTTTGTGGTGTTTCTTTGCAATCAGACACAGTTCCTGTCTCCCTACATGCAAATGTTCCACCAAAACCAGCTGCTGCATCCTGGGCTCAGCCCGGCCCAACGTGATTCTGATTGGTTTCAAGAAATGCAAACAAGCCATTAGCAGAGATAATGATAATGATAATGATAATGATAATAGGTGCAGCCACTGATCACAATCAGTAAACAGTAAAATCAGGCTGATATGTGAAAGTACAAAAAGGAACTTATGAGTGAACCTAAACTGTAATATTTAGAAGTTCAGGTAGAAGCTATAAAAGTATGAGACTTTCAAACACAGAGCTTTTACACTAGTCTCCACATGAGTTTAGCTGAGGACACAGTTCAGGGCAGGAGACTGTCAAGGTTTGGCTGTGGTCGGCCTTGTTACCAAGAAAGGACCACAGTGGCTGCGCAGCATGGCTATCCCTTGCTGTGAGGCTGTAGAGGAACTGTGTGTCATCATGGCTTGGCTCGGCACAGCATGACTAAAGTGGATGAACCTGGGCTAATGGAAAAACCCTGTTAATTTAAAAGTTGAACTTCCTAGTATGCAGGTTGGGTTCTACAATAATGTTCTTGTCTCTAACCAGGTGGTGTACAATTGATCTGTAACAACATGGTGACCAGCACCCGGGCCATTGTGAACACAGCACGTAGTATGGTGTCCACCATCATGAAGTTCTTGGACTCAGGCCCTGGAAAGACAGCAGATGGAAACCTCAAAGCCAGAGTGATGACCTCAGAGCCAGACAACGCTGAGGGACTCCACAACTTCGCCCCTTTAGGTGCTTTCACACACTTTCACTCAGTCTGTTACGAGTTTAAAAACCTCCACCAACTCTTTTCCAATTCTAAATGATCTGTTTGTCCCTTAATAGGCACCATCACATCCAGCAGCCCCACAGCACAGCCAGCAGAGGTCCTCCTTCAGGCCACGCCGCCCCACCGCCGGGCCCGCTCTGCAGCATGGTCCTACATCTTCCTGCCAGAGGAGGCCTGGTGTGACCTCACCATTCACCTTCCTGCTGCTGTGCTTCTGAAGGAACTGCACATCCAGCCACACCTTGCTTCTCTAGCCAGTGAGTAACAGCGTATCTACACTACTGGTCAAAAGTTTCAGAACATCCACATTTTCAGGTCCAGTGGTAAACCTTAAAGGAGCAATTTATATGTTTTGTTATTGCTACATAGCTAATGTTAGCATTAACAGCTGTTTACTTACAAGTCTTGCGCTTCAGCCATTGTTGTCTTTACAAGACAAGAGGTTATAATACGTCCTCTGAACAGATACTTCAGGGGCTGTTACTACACCCTCTGATGCATCATTAGGACAATACTGTACTGCTGTCAGAGTGGAGAGGCACAGAGCAGTAATAGAGGAAGACACACTGGTTGGTGAGGATGTCATCCTACAGCAACCAAATCTCCCCAACGTTAGATGGACAGAATCAGATGGATGTTTCACATGATGAAGACCAGCACAGTCCCGAGACCTAAAATGCTCTCATGCAGATCCAGATCAGGTGCTTCAGTCAATGTTTACACAAAACATGAGAATGAGGACAAATGTGATCGCTGTGACTGTGACATGATTGTTGGTTTGAGTGTTTCTCAAACTGCTAATCTCCTGGATTTTCACTCACAACAGTCTCTGGAGTTTTTACTACAAAAAACTTTTGTTTTAAAAACAAAAGCATCCAGGGAGCAGCAGCTTTGTGTTGATAAGAGAGGTCAGAGGAGAATGGACAGACTGGTTGGAGCTGATAGAAAGGCTACGGTCACTCAGATAACCAATCTTTACAACTGTGCTGAGCTCAGAAGCTTCAGAGTGAACAACACGTCCAACTTTGAGGTGGATGGACTACAACAGCAGAAGACCATGTCAGGTTCCACTTCCTGTCACCAAGACCAGAAACCTGAGGCAGTGGACACAGACTCACCAACACTGGACAGTTGCAGACCTGATCTGATGGATCAGGATTTGTACACAGTTCCTCTACAGCCTCACAGCAAGGGATAGCCATGCTGCGCAGCCACTGTGGTCCTTTCTTGGTAGCAAGGCCGACCACAGCTAAACTCATGTGGAGACGAGTGTAAAAGCTAGCGTCTGAATCCATGGACCAACCTGACTTGTGTCAACAGTCCAGGCTGGTTGTGGTGGTGTGATGGTGTGGGGAATGTGTTCTTCTTAATACCATCAATCATGGTCTGAATGTCTCAGTCAATCTGATTATTGTTGCTGACCATGTTCATCCTTCATGGCCCCAGTTCACCATCTTCTAATGGCTCCTTCCAGCAGGATAATGCTCCATGTGACAAACTGGTTTCATCAACATGAAAATAAGTTCAGTGAACTTCACTGACTCATAGTCTCCAGATCCGAATCCAGTAGAAGACCTTTGGGATGTGGTAGAACAGGAGACAGTCACAATGATCAGTAAAAATGAACTACATTTATGCTGGTGTTCACAGTCCACTCTCTTTTTGTGTTGCTGTGTTTACGCTGCACATCTGACATATTTTGTAAAGTGTATTTCTGTTTCTACAACTAACAAAAACATTTTCCATTTCAAAACTCAGCTGTCATTTCTTTGTTTTACTGTCTCCCTCCTCTATAAAACCAGCCTGTCCGTCCTCAGTCTCAGTGGAGATCAGCGCTGACGGGGTCAACATGTTGCCGCTCTCCACGCCCGTCATCACCAGCGGCCTGACGTACATAAAGATCCAGCTGTTGAAGGCGGAGGTTGCCTCGGCTGTTTGCCTGAGGCTGCACCGGCCTCGTGATGCCAGCACCCTGGGTCTTTCTCAGATTAAACTCTTGGGCCTGACAGCATTTGGAAACACCTCCTCTGCAACTGTCAACAACCCCTTCCTACCTTCTGAGGACCAGGTCTCCAAAACCAGGTACGAGACACTGATCCTGGTTTGAGACTATATACATGTGTGTTAGATGTGGGTGTTGTTCTGAGCTTTTCCTTCTTCCTGTACAGCATTGGGTGGCTGCGTCTCCTCCACCACTGCCTGACGCACGTCAGCGACCTGGAGGCCATGATGGCCAGTGCTGCAGCACCCACCGCCAACCTGCTGCAGACCTGCGCAGCACTGCTCATGTCACCTTACTGTGGCATGCACTCCCCCAACATCGAGGCCGTGCTGGTCAAGATCGGCCTGCAGTCGACTCGCATTGGACTCAAACTCATTGACATTCTGCTGAGGAACTGTGCTGCCTCTGGCACAGACCCGGCCAGTGAGTCACACACAGCTACACTGCTGCTCACTGTTAACAGGCAGCAGATCCACATGAATTTACACAGCATCAACAAGTGAACGGGCTGAAGGAAGTTTGAAAGAGTCAGACAGGAGCATGTTTCAGATGTTTAGGCACATCAGCTGGTACAAGTGTGTTTGTACTACAAGGCCTCGGAAGCTGTTGGAATGTGTGTTCAGCCTTTAAGTTTCTCAGAACAATGTGATTTGGTACCAAATGTTTGGTCAATAAAAGAAATTTCAGTTAATTAATTCAATTTAATTGACTGAGTGAGAGAGTCTTTTAGTCAGAGGCGCAGCAGGTCAGCTGAAAATACAAAAGTAGGAAATCTGTCTACAGGAAAGGAAACAGTTCAACATACACAGATGATAAAGGTTCTTTCAAGGAAACACCCTTTTCTCTTTAATTAATACCAAAATACATCAATGTTGTCAGGAATCAAACTGGGACAAATCTCTAGGTTCTTTGTATCGATATTCTGAAATTACAAAACCATATAATACAACTTTTGTCAGTATTTTCATGTAGGCTGTGCTAACAAATAACCATTATTAACCAAATAACCAATCATTACAGTAATTAGTTAACAAGAAATCAAGTGAGGGAGCATTAATGAGAGCTGAACCTGTCCTGTACCTGTGTCTTTAAGACCTGACCCAGGTAAATCTGACCTGATACCCAGCACTCTGTTTATACTTTATTTGATCAGTTTCCGTGTGTTAGCTCGCCGTGCTAATGGCTACACACAGATTCTTTTCCTGTTTACAGTTAGCATCATGTCTCTACATACAGAGACACAGTCAGGAGTTTCTTTACGAATGGCATTTAATAGACTATAATCTGAATCTGGGTCTCAAAGTATTGAGTTTCTGTTTAGGTACTTGTATTGTGTAAAACTTGAGACCCACTCCCACCCCCATGGTAGGTCTCAGAGATCTTTTGTTGTGAAGTGTCCAGCCTGATAACCGTCCTTACTTTAGTCTTTGCTTGTGTGTCTGTAGATCTGAACAGTCCTTTGCTGTTTGGGCGACTGAACGGTCTCTCCTCAGACTCCACCATCGACATTCTGTACCAGCTTGGCACCACGCAGGACTCTGGGACCAAAGACAGGTACGTAATATCCTGTTTGTACCTCAGTAAGAAAAACAGCCAGTTAGAAGCAGTGTTGTGTCATGGTGATATTCCAGACACTCCTCTGCTGACAGTAAAAGCAGGGTTTTTCCTGGCCAAAAATTAGGCAGGGGTGGTACTAAACCATAAGATGAGGGGGGGATTAAATTATATTTTCATTAAATCTCCAGCCACCGCTGGTCAAAGCCACTCACTCTATGCGTTTCAGAACATCTGGGAAGATTAATAAAAAGTGATAATCTCATGAAAATCATGTAATCGTTGGCTTTAATACACTCGTTAATACACTCCTACAGACTTGGTACTCTCGCCTTGACTCCTCTCTCCACTCTGATCCTCTCCTCCACCTTCCACTTGTGGCTGAGAACTAGGCCTTCTCTCAGTCAGTATCTTCAGTAACATGAATTCACTTTTTTTCCCGTTTTAGAAGAACTAATGATGTCTGTAGTGTTTCTCCTCCGTCCTATCGATTCTCCTCATCGCGAGCTCTCTTAAAAATAATCTGTGATTTGAGACATTTCTGCAAACAAAATATACACGATGGGATGTAACGTTAATTTAATTTGGTTTTACTTGACATTAACAGCACTTTGAGGACATAACATGAACGAAAATACGGAACAAATTGCTCCTCATATTGATTCAAATCCACAGAGTACCGAGAAAACAAGTACTAGAATTCTATCGTGAGGTGGAGGTGTCCTGCACTGAATCAATACAGGAAGCCGCAGCATTTTATTTTAAAATACGGAACGATCCCGTATTATAGGGGACAGGTGGCAACCCTATTTCCCTGTTTGAAGAGCCGTAAAATCAGGTCGCCGCCAGCAATCCAGCGCGTTCATATTCTTCCTCTTTGGCAGTTTCGGATGGCTCTGCCTGATGCATGGATTACAATACAGCGCCACTATATTGCCGTAGTGGCTTACAGCCGCAATTGCAATTACAAACGTCAAATCCACCGAGTACCGAGAAAATAAGCACTAGAATTTTGTCGGGAGGCAGCACAAAACTTGACGGAGGGAGCATCTCCCAATTCTCTATGCAGGAAAAACCCTGGTAAAAGGTGTCCTTACTCTCTCCTTGTCATCTTTTACTGTAGACTGTAGAGGTTGTGAGATTCTCTGTGATGATTTATTTATTTGAGCTTGCTCTGGATTTGAACCCTCCAGGATTCAGGCTCTCCTTCAGTGGGTCCACGACTCTTCACGGGTAGCAGCCCACAAAATGAGTGTCCCTATGGGATACACCGGGGCCGGCTCCTCCTCGGCTTCGTTGAGGGAGTATGGCCTCCTCATGCCTTCACCCTCCCACCTCCACTGTGTGGCAGCCATCCTGTGGCACAGCTATGAGCTGCCTGTCGACTACGACCTCCCTGCACTGCTCAACAGAGAGCTCTTTGAGTAAGAGTCTTTCTCCCATATTAACATCATACATACAGGCACATGTATGTACATGCACATACATGTACAAGTAATAGTTAAGTTATGATTTAGTTGATACGTGTTATATTATGTTATATGTCCTGTGTCTCCTATTTCAGTCCAATACCTTGTAAATATGATGGCATTTTTACATGTTGGTCTCATGTCTTTTTTATTTTTTTATTTTTTTATTTGGTGAGACAAGACAAAGACAGGCTGTGGTATAACATGACATGGCATAAGATAACATACTGGCATACGCTACTAGTGTGACCAACTGACAGCTTTTGTTATTGTTATAATATCTTGACTTATTGGGAGTTATTGAGGGGCAGAGAGAAAAGAAGACAAGAAAGACCTTCTTAGGATCTGAGTAGATAGCAGGTACTTGGTAGGGGGAATTGAGGAGTCAGGACCATCCATCAGTGAAAGAAGCGTGCGCTACTGGGAGGTGTAAGTTTGTTTTCTTATGGTCCAGTAACGTAGGTGGGGAGGTGGGTTATGATGGTTTGGTTTGAATGTTGTACAGAAATACTGGGCTGTCCTCTGCAGTGGTCATGCTCCTGACCAAACCTGGTCCACTCCCAGACCCTCAAGGAGGGAGCTAGTCCTTTGTGGAGTGTTTCTGTATTTTTTTCCCCTTGTTTTCCCATCATTCATTAGGTACGCTTCCCCAAACCTGTGCTGGGCAGTGATTGGCTGACTCATCAATCAGCTGGTTTTAAGATATTTTTAATAGAGTCAACTGAAGGTCTTGTTCCAAGACTTTGGTGATGGAGGAAAGATCAGGGTTCACTGAGAGCAGTGTATATCTTTAATTTTATCTTTATTTTGAATTTTCCTTTCTATCTTAATTAAAAATAAATATTTGTTGAATAATGAATGTAAATGACTATAGCATACATAACTAACTAATTAAGTCGTAATATCTTAGTTATTGTGAAAATGTCTTGATATGCACAGACTATATAACTTTGATAATGCAGCCCGTTGAAGGCAGACAACATAGATTCCTGATTGATTATTGATTTCCTTAACTTTTCCCCCAGGCTGCTGTATAACTGGTCCATGTCGTTGCCGTGCAACATCGTGTTGAAGAAAGCCGTGGACAGCCTGCTGTGCTCCATGTGTCACATCCACCCCAGCTACTTCTCCCTGCTCATGTCCTGGATGGGGATCGTCTCAGCGCCCAGCGCCAGCCACTCCCAAGCCCAACACTGCCGCCTCTCCATGACTGATGACGGCAAAAAGCAGCATGATGCCAACACAAACGCCTCAGGACTTACAGATGACTCCAAGCACGCGAGATCCCCCACTAATCTGTCTGAATCGCAGCTGACCACGCTGGCCGCTGCCTCTCAGTCTCCGGGGGCTATAGAGCAGCTGCTGGACTCAGGCTTACCCTCGCTGCTGGTTCGCAGCCTGGCCCAGTTCTGTGTTGGCCTCTTGGCCAGCGCCGACCTCCCTCTGCCTGCTGCTCAGGCCGAGAGAAGACACCACCATCACCACTACCACTCATCCTCCTCATCCTCTCACAGTCGGCCCCCTTTGGCTGCGGAGCTGGCTGCTCCGGTGCTGCGCTTCCTCACAGAAGTAGGCAACAGTCACACCATGAAGGACTGGTTAGGAGGACCAGAGGTCAACCCGCTGTGGACCGCACTGCTCTTCCTGCTTTGCCATTCCAGTGCCAGTGCCGGTGCCAATGCAGGCTGTCAGCCTCTGAGCTCTGGATCTGCAGCAGCTCCCTCTCCATCCCAGCCTCAGCATTCAGGGTCACGCTTCTCTCTGGCATCTTCTGGCCAAGCTGGAGGTCTCACCACCCAGCAGAGGACGGCTCTGGAGAACGCCACTGTGGCCTTCTTTCTCCAGTGTATCTCCTGCCACCCCAACAACCAGCGGCTCATGGCACAGGTCTCCTCACACACCACTCACTTTGTTTTGACCACTGACACAGATTTGCTGACTTGTTTTCCAAGCAAACACAGCCAGAGACTATTTTATTTATTATTAGTCACTTTTTTCATTGAGATGTATTGATCAGTCACTGTATTGTTTTTAAGCCTGTGTTTTGTGGCTGCAGGTTCTCTGTGAACTCTTCCAGTCTGCACCCCAGAGAGGTAACGTGCCCATCTCTGGAAACATCTCAGGCTTCATTCGAAGGCTTTTCCTTCAGCTCATGTTGGAGGATGAGAAGGTCACAGTCTTCCTGCAGTCTCCCTGTCCGGTGGGTAACTTTGTTGTTGGATATCTGCTCTGTCTCTTTTCTACATAAGAGAGAAAGAAATGTGTCCTCAGTAGATTCTGGCTCTGTGGAGCCTCACAGAGCAGCTAACAGGCCTGTGTAGTGTAGAGGCTGATTCCTGTGGGATTGCCAGTGGATGGGAGTCAGTTTCACTATTTAGCACGTGACTGGGATGGGACAGGAATCGTAATAAAATGAGGTCAATTTTTATACAAAGATCTGCACTTCTAATATGAATAAACGCCGTTTTCTTTATTCGGAACATAATGCTAGCGAGGCTGCTCACTGCAGAGCCATTACATTTTACATTCGAAGACTTTATTTCACTCTTTTCAAACAGACAAATTTTTGGCCACACACCTGTCCGAGCTGCTGCTCTAGTAACTGAGCTAGTGTTTCCGATAGCCTGCATATTAGGCATTAAGGGGTCATCTGTAAACCTTAACCGATGAGTCTCTGCATGCACAAATTCTCAACCAGTAGGAAACACTTCACTCGGATTCCCCTAAAAAAAACGCAACATGGGACAGGATAGGAGAAGAGTCATTCTTCCTGGATTGGGCAGGACATTCTGTCATTTTCATTCTGGATTTGGGATGGGAAAGGAGTGAAAATCCACTCCTGTGTCTCCCTCTAGTGGAGGTGAGAGAGTAATGCTGCTTTCAGACAGAACGCCGCGTCCAGCGAGCAATCACGAGCGCTGTGATGACCATGTGTGCAGCCAGTTGAAACACAGCAATTGAAATACGGCACAAAACGAAAATGGAGGAGAAACTCATCCTTTGTGTCTCTTAATACCCTGAAATATACGATACAAGCTTACGCTTGTATTGGGACGTCGGAAGGAAAGCCCTCTCTTGGCGACAGATTTCTACCCAAGTAGGCATGTCAGGTGTGTTTTAAGATATACAATCCATAATTTTAACAGTCTGTAGCTTGTTGTTGGTAGACACTATGTGTAAATGTAGTTCACTTTCTTTTGGGCACAGGAAAGGTACATCTTTCAGCAACAGAACACACAGGAGGTGTCCGGCAGTGTGGATGTGTCCCAATCATATAAAGTCTATGATCCTGCTAGAAGTTTTGAAAACTCCGCCCATGTTTGCTCTGTCCTCCTTGACTTCACCAGACAGTGCGCTCAACCAAGCGGCGAATGCAGCGCAAGTTGCGTTCTGTCTGAAATTAGCTTAAGTTTAGTTGCGCTATACGCTGGTAAATGCGACTCGAAGCATATTTCTGCTAAATCTATTTTCATTTTTGCATCACTACAGTGATTGGGTATCAGGCTAAAACACAGGTAACCTGCAGCTCAGTACTGTCTCTGAACACCTCCTGTGTAGACATGGTGTTAGTCTTGTTTTCGTTTCTGTTGGGTCATCAGATGAAGATCATCAGGTGGTCCACATGAAACAATGAGGTCATAGAATGTAAAGCTTTCTGGAAACTATAGCAGACATGACTGACATGATGATATTTAAACACAAGCCCCCACCATATAGTCAAAACGGGTCAAACCGATGCGTGTTACCATGTGTAAATGACTGCTGTAGTATTCAGTTATGACCACAAGGGGACAGCACAGCAGTATGATCACAGTGATTCCCTCAGAGTGAAGCTGACCATGATATTTCTATAAATATTTACTGCTACAGCACGAGGTCAGAGAACTATCATTAATGTCACACTGATAACAGTACAGTACATGTTAGTGGCTCTAGAGACATCAGTGTCGGTGTCAATGGATTGATTCCCATCAAATGTTTTACAGGCATTTCATTCCCATATGATGAATTCTTGAAACGTCAGTGATCCCCTGACTTTTGTAGTTCTGAGTGGTACGTCTCAACAACAACTGAAATTGTACCAAACAAATTATTACCCAGAATGCCCATTGTAGGTGTCCAGTGATCGTCTTCTGCATGTAAAAACACTTTCATCCTGGGATGCTGCAGGTTTTCCTGACAGAAGGCTCTGTATTCCCAGTGTTCAGCCTGATCTAATCCTCTTGCCTGTTTTGCAGGTGCAGGTTTTTAGAATTGGACCTGAGAGGAATCCTGACATGGAAGTCTTAGAAGTCCCCCCTTTCTTTAAGTCCCTGAGTCTGACCTGCCTGTAGTATCATTAGTGTCTGCATCTGTCTGTGGTGGTGACGCGTCAGGCCTGTCACTAGAGGCTGTTTGTATATATTTGTTTGTTGAATTTCTCTGACACTGACAGCACTGTAGCTGCACCCTGAAAGCTCCAGGTAGCAGTGTCACACGTCTAACATGTAAAGTAAAGGGAGACAGAGAAGAGATGGGAGGGCGGAGGAGTCCAGCATAGCCTTCACACTGAAAGCCTTTCAGAAAAAATTGACTGGTCCACATCTCCCAACACTGGTCACATATGTTGGTGAAATCATTGTACCCTTAGTACTTTTCCAGGAGCTGATCAGCTGATCATCATATTTTCCTAAGACGCTAACACAAAACTATTTTCTTCTGTTCTCAGTTATACAAAGGACGCATCAATGCCACCAGTCACATGATCCAGCATCCCATGTATGGAGCAGGCCACAAGTACCGCACCCTCCACCTGCCCATCTCCACCACGCTGGCTGAAGTTCTGGACCGGGTGTCTGGTATGTTTCAAAGAAGAAAACTCACCAGACCACACTAGACAGATGTGTATGAAACTAGCTGCTGGTTCCTGTTGTCTTGGCTTGGTGTAAAATATAAGAACATTATAAGAATAATAATAGGGATGCCCCGATTGATTGGCCACCGATCATCATCGGCCAATTTTCATTAAAAATATGTGATCGGTAGATGGGAATTAATCACGTTTTTGTTTACTAATTTGTATGGAGGCACCAAGTAAAGCAAACACCAGGGTATACTGCATTGAAATTCTTCACTGCCCTGGTGTGGAGCTGTGGACTGTAAAATAGTATTCACTGTCTGAGTGTTTGGACAGAAGTATTTGGACAGTTTTACATTTTTTTTGTTCTTCAGTCTCTGAGCTTCACATGCAGCTGTCCAGCTTGTTGCCATGACTTCACGTACCAGAAGCTCAAGTCTGCTCAAATCTGTCAGCTAGATTCAGTCATTATACAAAACTTCATTTGAACCGGAACCATTAACAACAGAAACATTATGGTTTAAATCAAAGTTCATTAGTTTGAAACAAACCGCTAATCAGTGAAAGCTGGGAGGGAGGGCCAAGTCTCCCTACAGACAGGATATGAAGCCATCTGAAATATTAAGACTGACATGCTGACCCATTTCCACTCATCTCATTCATAGTAATTTGTGTAACATCAACAATCAGTCTTTATTAAACACTGAAAGAGTACAGGTTTTTGAGCTGTAGCAACATGTCAGCTCAAATGAAGACAATGACCAGGAGAAAGCTGATGTTGTAGACAAAGTAGAGGACCTAGAGAACCAAAACTGATCCTTAAATCTCCACTTTATACGGGTTCCTGAGTCTGTGGAGGCAAGAGAACCTCCCTGAGTCACCGATCACTTAAAAAGCTTACAGCCGTCCTGCCAATCCTCAGTCCATCCTCTGCCTTGTCTTGGCTTATAATGGGACTCACATTATGATTAACCAGCACTTCACTGCTGAAATGATCACGAGGCACACTCAAGGAAAAGCTCCATTAACTTAATTTAAACTTCTCTTTCTGTCATCTGTGCACACTTGGCCATCACAAAGAGGCTGAAGCTTCCTTCATGTCTTCCATGAACTCACCATGTTTTTTCAACTCACATCATAGCATGGACTTGTGAAGGTGTGTTCTCTCATTTTGAATCATTCTCAGGATTGGACAGGGGGGCTTGATTTGGTGGGATGAGTTATTTTATTTGCAGCCTTCACTGTCAACAAATTCTAACCAAGGGATCAATAATAAGAAACTGGAAGACTTTGAGTTTTGACGGCACTCTGTTAATTGTGTCATTTTGTTGGAACTTTTTTCTTCTGTAACAGTTTTAATTGGAACTCCTGAGAATAAACACCATCTGCTGTTTACTTTGATGAACCAACTCCTAATATACAACAGTGGATGGAAACAACGGTGGATTCATTCACGTTGTCTTTTGCAGAATTTCTCAAAATTGGTTTAAAATTTACCCCTCCTACTGTTGCTATGAGCTGCACTATCTGTGTGTGTGTGTGTGTGTGTGTGTACTACTTAAAGCTTTAAATTCTATTTCCTGTTCCACAACACAGACACGCCCAGCATCACAGCCAAGCTGATCAATGAGCAGAAGGAGGACAAGGAGAAGAAGAACCATGAGGAGAGGGAGAAGATGAAAGCAGACAGTGGTTTCCAAGACAACTACAGTGTTGTGGTGGCCTCAGGTGCTCGGTTCTGTTCCATACACACCTCTTGTCCAATCCCCTACACAGCCATCAAAGTATAAGTTTTCTTGAAATAGGATCTGTTAAAATTACATTTGGTGCTATTTGGGTAAAGTCCTCAGGGCCTGAAGCCACTTGAAGTGAATGATTTTCAAAAGAATCAAGGATTTTATAACAAAGGTCTCTAAGGTCAATACATGTACTAAAGCTGCACTATTCCCCCGTTAAAATAAGATAAACAGTAATAAGAATGATAAACATTCAGACAAACCAGGCAGAAAACAAAGCGTCCACTTATTTACTTTTAACAATGTAATCATGACTCCAGATGTTGGTGGAACAAGACGCAACAGATTAAAGAGGAACAGATTTAATACATACTGCATATATTGGCCATATTCAGTTTCCTGTTACTGTTTTCAGATTAGTTATGATTTATGTGTGAGAAAAGGTAAATGTAGCACTGAGCATTTGAGAACGAAATAACAAAAATTAAAGATATGGCCTTGGGTCGAGTTTAGGGATCAAATTTGGCAGGACTGGTCTGGCTTTTTTGGATATCAAACTTTGGTATGGGTCAATGATTAAGGGATGTGCTCTGTAAAATGTCAAACTGACAAACATGAGAAATCTTTTGTTGTTATAAAAGTTGGTGGCCTTAGATCTCACTTTGGCAAAAACAATGGCAGCCTGAATTTTATGTCCAAATTCTCACAATGTGATTTGTGTCACAACTGGGAGCTCAGTACATAGAGCGGGTCATGCACTAATCAGAAGGTTGGTGGTTTGATCCCCAGCTCTGAGTGAATGTGGTATGCAGGGCTGATAGCGCTCCGGCGCCACGCTGGATTTCCGGCGTACCGAGATATTTGCGAGAAAAAAAAAAATCAGGTTCACGTTCGCGTGATCTGACAATTCCCAAGATCCGAGAGGCGCTTTCACTCTAAACCACACCAGTAGGCATAGCCTACTTAAGCCAATCGGTAATAGGGGAGGGGGTGGTCTTGGGTTTTGGCCAATCAGATTGATTCAGCAGTCACCCCATGTGCGAATGTTTTGTGTTTCCCATACACTATGAATGTGTTTCCCACACTGGCAGCGCGAAACATAGCCGAAGTCATGGAGTGCAACTTTATGAAGCCAGGGGAAGACACCAAACTTGTTGATAAAGGTATAAAGAATAAATGGCGTTGGTCTTGGATAGAGGAGGTGGGTAGAGACAGAAAGCCCTTTGGAAGCTGGTGTCAAAAACTCCGGCAACCAGGAGCATGTTTCTGCACTTTGTGTGCAAGGAAAATATTATATGGAACTAGCAGGAAAAAGTGCTGCCACGGCACAAGTTCAACGCTAGTCATCAAGCAGCTTTATGAGCAATTCAACATACCTCACGTTTGCCAGGGGCAACAGCCACAGCAGATATCCGACCCTCAATGACCGATCGCGTGGCTGATTTAAAAATTCGCTTGTGCTCCTTCATTGCCGAGTATGATCTATCGTTTACATTCGCTCATCCACTCGTCACTTTGTGTCAGAGATTAGCGGAGGATAAACTCGCCCTTACTATCTGTCTCGAGGCAGCATGCAAGCTATCTTATTACACACATCTCACCAGAATTTAAAAGAAATCTGTGACAAGCTTGAGAATAACATGTTTTCACTCAACATTGATGAGGCCAGGGACAAAAGCATGGACAAAATTCTAAATGTACTTGTCCGATTTTATGACGAGGATGCAGGCAGTGTGAAAAGTGTGGTTAGTGAGGTCCCCCCTCCATTGTAAAAGCGCTTTGGCTATCTTGAAAAGCGCTATATAAATCCCATGTTCATTCATTCATTCATTCAATTCCTAGTTTACTTTTGAGTATTATAATTGTCACCCACTGACCTTTCTTGGTATGGCTGTAGTATCCGTAGTCTCAGTATGCTATACAAGCAATAAGTACGCAGGTAAGTGACTAGTTAAAAGCAGGGATGGATTACTGAACAGGCCTACCAGGCCCAGGGTCCCAAGAGCTCTGGTGCTCTACACAAAGATGCTACTGTAATATAGGCTTGTATTGGGTTTGTTCATCTCATGTCTGAATAATGTACATTTGTATCCACAAAAGTCATCAGAATATTTAATTCAATGGACTATTTATCGAAATGTCCCAGGGGAGCACACCCCTGGATCCCGCTTGACAATTGCGTTGATTGGGGGAAATATATCTTAGCTTCGGGGCCGCTTACCTCCCAGGGAAAAAAGTTCAGGCTCAGGATTTTTTTTTACTATCACCCCTGGGTATGTATTATAATGCGCTCTGAGTGGTTGATTTGACTAGAAGAGCTCTGTATAAGTGCAGCCCATTTACAACCCATGCCCACAGGTGATTTATTGTGAATAAAAACATTTACATTTACTCATTTAAAGCAGACTCTTTTATGCAAAGAGACATCAGTAAAGCTGCAGTGCAGTAGGAGACCTTGGTGTAAGGACTAAGTCCTACATCTATGAAATAAGTGAAGGAGATCAGATAAAGAAGTGCAGGTAAAGTTCACAATAAGCAGTAGTTAGATCTGTTGTTAGAGGTGTTTGGATTTTCACTAACTCCTGTTTCAGAGACATTAAAATAATCAGATTTATAGACACTGGCAAAATATGTCAGCTGTTGGTAGCTTTCAATATAAAACTCACATATTAACCTTTTTTCTGTGGATGAGAACAAGACCAACCGTGTCCTTGATGTTTCTTTGTCTCTGCCATCAGGCTTAAAGTCCCAGTCCAAGCGGGCTCTGTCAACCCCTCCCCGACCTCCATCAAGGAGGGGCCGCGTGATGAGTGACAAGCTGACTGCTTCATCTGGTGTGGACCCCTCAGCCAAAACCATCAGTGTGCCTGTCTTCCACCTCTACCACAAGCTGCTTCCAGGTACTAAATGCGCACATTCAAAGTGAACAGGAGATGAATGTGTTTGAGTTGTCTGAAGTGGATTCTTGTGTTGGCCCCGCCAGGTCAGCCCCTCCCACCTGAGATGACCCTGGCCCAGCTCCTGACGCTCCTGTATGACCGCAAGCTGCCACAAGGCTACCAGTCCATCAACCTGACCGTCAAACTGGGCTCCAAGGTCATCTCTGACCCGGGTCTTTCCAAGACCGACTCCTTTAAGAGGCTGCGCACTGAGAAAGGTACAAAAACCTGTGGCCCTGCAGCACATGAGGAGTTCTGTTCAGTCCAGATAACATTTCAGTCTGCAAAAAGTTTTATTAATTGGATCAAGGTTGTTCCAGTTGGTAGTCCATTATTATCTGTTTTTCAGAAGGAAACATGTAATCGTTGCTATAGTATTGTAGTATTGTTTACAGTTGTCTTTTACATTGGACATACAGTACAGGCCAAAAGTTTGGACACACCTTCTCATTCAATGCGTTTCATGACTATTTACATTGTAGATTCTCACTGAAGGCATCAAAACTATGAATAAACACATGTGGAATTATGTATTTAACAAAAAAGTGTGAAATAACTGAAAACATGTCTTATATTCTAGTTTCTTCAAAGTAGCCACCCTTTGCTCTGATTACTGCTTTGCACACTCTTGGCATTCTCTTGATGAGCTTCAAGAGGTAGTCACCTGAAATGGTTTTCCAACAGTCTTGAAGGAGTTCCCAGAGACTCTGCGGTCCAGCTCACCCCAAACCATCTCGATTGGGTTCAGGTCCGGTGACTGTGGAGGCCAGGTCATCTGGCGCAGCACTCCATCACTCTCCTTATTGGTCAAATAGCCCTTACACAGCCTGGAGGTGTTTTTGGGGTCATTGTCCTGTTGAAAAATAAATGATGGTCCAACTAAACGCAAACCAATCTCAAATTTGGACTCATCAGACCAAAGCACAGATTTCCACTGGTCTAAAGTCCATTCCTTGTGTTTCTTGGCCCAAACAAATCTCTTCTGCTTCTTGCCTCTCCTTAGCAGTGGTTTCCTAGCAGCTATTTGACCATTAAGGCCCGATTCGCGCAGTCTCCTCTTAACAGTTGTTCTAGAGATGTGTCTGCTGCTAGAACTCTGTGTGGCATTTATCTGGTCTCTAATCTGAGCTGCTGTTAACTTGCGATTTCTGAGGCTGGTGACTCGGATGAACTTATCCTCAGCAGCAGAGGTGACTCTTGGTCTTCCTTTCCTGGGGCGATCCTCATGTGAGCCAGTTTCGTTGTAGCGCTTGATGGTTTTTGCAACTGCACTTGGGGACACATTCAAAGTTTTTGCAATTTTCCGCACTGACTGACCTTCATTTCTTAAAGTAATGATGGCCACTCGTTTCTCTTTACTTAGCTGATTGGTTCTTGCCATAATATGAATTCTAACAGTTGTCCAATAGGGCTGTCGGCTGTGTATCAACCTGACTTCTGCACAACACAACTGATGGTCCCAACCCCATTAATAAGGCAAGAAATTCCACTAATTAACCCTGACAAGGCACACCTGTGAAGTGAAAACCATTTCAGGTGACTACCTCATGAAGCTCATTGAGAGAACACCAAGGGTGCAGCGCTATCAAAAAAGCAAAGGGCGGCTACTTTGAGGAATCTAAAATAAGATGAGTTCAGAGTTATTTCACACTTTTTTGTTAAGTACATAATTCCATATGTGTTCATTCATAGTTTTGAAGCCTTCAGTGAGAATCTACAATGTAAATAGTCATGAAAATAGAAGGTGTGTCCAAACTTTTGGCCTGTACTTTTATAGAGAATAGAGAAAAATGGTACACATATTGTATAAGTGCAAATCTTTTTTTCCAAATTATAATTATCCAGAAGTTTATCTAATCCTCTCCAGATGTAACAGATTAGTGATTCCAGCCCAAGTCTTAAAAGAAGGTTAAAATATTCCTCTTCGCAATGCTGTGCAATATTGTATTGTCTTTTGTTACAAATGGGTTAAAGTTGAAGAGTGAATGGCAGTATATGGGTCTAGAGTAATAACAGTTATATACTATACTATACTAAAGGCACTTGAAAATATCTGACCAGAATTTGTTTAGAAGAGGTGGCCTAAGGTGGCCTCTGCTGATTTACCTTTGGGGCAGATTGGAGAGATATCAGGGTAGAAAGAGTGTAATTTAGTGGAGAAGTCTGGTCCCAGATCGTTTAACTCTTTAAAAACTTTATCAGGAGGCTACTTATAAAGTGTTTGAGCTCAGACCGCTGACATCATCTCACACATCTCTCCTGCTCCACTGATCATCACCAGGAGATTAATAAAAGGATAACTGATCATCTGTATTGTGTTCAAACTGACTCATTACAGTGAACCAGCAGGAGTAGACGTAGAGTCACAGTGTTTCTGGTATAACAGCACCATGCTGGGCAGGTGACAGGTGTGTCTACAGTGTTTGTGATCTGAAAGATGCCACAGCAGGAAAAAGGGGGGAGAATTAATGTGTCCACCTTGTTATGTTTACATCACTGCTGATTGGAGCTGGAGCCGATAAATAACTGTGACTCCTGCAGTCGTGTGATCTGGGAGTGAATGCTGATTGTAGCTCTGTTAAGATCCATTGATCAGGCTGTCTCTGCCCTCAGTCCACTGTAAAACCATCTGAATGGAGTAGAAGGACAGTGATGAGAGTGGTGATGCTTTTTGTAAGTCAAAACCATGTGACTAGCAGAGGTTTTTTGTTGTAAATGGGCTGTTGCAGTACCTATCCAGTCCAGTGGCTGTTCAGGACTTAATGGACTTGTCCTTTGGTCATTTCCTGAGCTGCTTTAAAGAAAAGGCTTTGAAGTCTAAAAGCTGCTGAGTGGTTCTGAGCTCAAACTGTTGAGTCACAGTCGCTCCTCTTACCTTTGCAGCCCTCAGGGGTTTAAAGCTTTTTCATCTTTCATACAAAATGCATGTGATTCTTACTGTGGCATTCATGTACAATGGCATAAAGCAAGGCTGTGTTCTATCAGACATGCTGTGCTGAATGTTGTTTGTTGACAGTGAGACCCTCCCTGTCTGATCCAGGGGACAATAAAAAGGACCTTGAGTCAGGACAGGTTGTTAATGGGTTCAAGCTGCTGACCCTCCTGTAGACAGAAGGTGAGGTGGTGACTCAAGGACTGGTTCCAGTTAGTTGTGATTGTGCTGCTCCAGGATCAGTACTGGTCAGATACATTTTGAACACCAGTGTCTTGTTTTGATGACCTCAGCACTGGTGAAAGTGCAGACCTGTTAAGATACCTGTCCTGTCTCCAGTCCACAGCTTCCATTTAAAACTCTCCTCTCATCTGCCTGGATGATTCTGATGATAGATGTTGGACTATTTCAGTATCGTAGATGTACTCACAGTATAAAAGTGGGTGCTCTGTCAGAATGTTTTCTTTCTTTTATCCCATCGTCTGCTTTTAAAAGCAGGAAAAGCACAGGTGGAAGTAAAGACATCAGTGATGGCTCTGCTGTTCCGTTAAGTGTCTCAAGACGCCACAAAGAGAAACACTTGTATTTCGCTGCTGTTCTGTCTGTGAGGAGCACAATGCTAAATTTCTAGAGGACTCATCCAGAGTCCCACCTGAGCTATGTGTGTTCACCCAGTGAAGCAGCACTTACATCAACATGAACATGAGTGTTCATGTTGTGAGATCGTGTTTTCTGTGTCCTCAGCCCAGTGCAGTTTACATTCAGCCCTCCTCCACTGACCCGGGCCATCACACACCCAGAACCTGTAGATCCTTGTGAGACGTTTCCACTGTATTTTACAAACTCATTATGAAGGCAACATGATATGGGGATGACGATGAAAACTGATATTGATTTTCTTATGCATGTTTACACTGAATGCAAAATGGCGTCCGGCACACCAAACCACCCGACCTCCATTACATCATCATTCTTCATTTCTCCATGAAGCTTTATTAATGCTGGAAACAGCAGCCACATGTGATGAGATGTCATCCGATGAGACTGAACATTGTTTACCTGTTTAATCACAGTTCAATCTCATGCTGAACATTTTGGCTAAGCCCAGCTCCCTTTTGTACCAGCTCTCCTTAATACTGATGAGGGCTTTCACATCTTGGTTTATTTAACAAGCGCTCTCAATAGCCCTTTTCCACTGGTCAAAAAACCAGCTAACATCAGGCTTTTGTCGACAATGGAAAAGGGTTCAATCAGCATTCACTCCTGGGTCAAATGACTGCAGTAGACGCAGGTATTTACACCTCTCTCTGAGAGAGAGCTGCAGCCCTGAAATAAGTTTTAAAAACACATAATCACAGATCGAAGCTTCTCACACAGAGGCTCTGACACTCTTACAGACTGTGTCTGTGTGTGTGCTCTGTAAGTGCATGTGATGACATCACTCCTTGCAGTTGCGTGTGTCCTTTATCTGAACAGAAAGACTGGCAGTGGAAAGGGTGTCAATCTGCTTTTATTAGCGAGTGTATCTGTGTTTAAAAAAACCTGCTTATACCTGATAATGTTTGAGGAAGAAAGTTATATCATTATCATTCATTGAAGCACTAGTTTTCTTTGTTGAGACAAACACAGTAATAAATCTCTGAAAGTAGCTGAAGTGCAGAGGCCAAGTTTAGTTTCCACTACAAACAAAAGGAGGAACTATTTCAGTGGCTACACTTTCCACTGTCTCATTAAGTTCTTTGACCCTGTTCTCCAGGACGGTCTCCTCCAAAATTACTTGGGTTTTTAAATTTTTTTTTACTGAGGCTAATAAAAGAAAAGGCCAGTCAGAGCACAGAGCAGATTATTTCTGTGGGTGCAGAGGGTGCCCACAGTGCTTTAACCCCTCCGTGAAAGGAGATGATTTTTAGGCACAGCTATAAAGCTTCAGTTTTTACAGGCTGCTGGAAGCAGCCTGGCAGCAGCCTGTTACTCTTCAACCTTGAGATTCCGAGAATGAGCAGGTCCTGATTCACCACTTCCCTTTCAATGAACTCGAATAAACTCTCATTCTTAAAGTTGCCTACTGCCCAGGCACTCACCACTAGATGAGGTCAGTCATTGTGTCTTTTTAACCAGTGTGTCCTTCCTCTTTGTGGCTGCTGAATTCACATTCATTACATGAGCTGTTAGGGATCAGAGACCAGCAAATAACATGGATCAGAGGCCCAGTGGAGTCTCTCCCTGATCCCTGATTATTGGGGCCCAAGTACAGACCGGTGCAGGCTCCCTCTTGAAACTATAGTAATAATAATAATAATAATAATAATAACAGTAATTACTGAATCATAATAATAATGATTATTATTATTATTATTATGGTTTATTAACTGGACTCAGTTGAATTGAGTTTTTGAGCTAAAGGTGCTGGAAAACTCCCAAAACTAAAAAAAGAATGTGTCAAAATGGCTGGGTTCTGGTATTCCCATATGAAATGTCATTAAAGTTTCCCTCACAGTTGGTTTCACCTCCATGTATGAAATCTGTTGGGCACATGTAACATCCTGCAGCAGCCCAGAGGAGGGTCCAGTCAACGCTGCTCACAGCTTTAATTTTGTAAGTGAAATCACTGAGTGTAGTCTAGTTCTCTTTGTTTGTACACTTCCTGTCCGTCTTTCTGAGGACAGGCTTTTCACCCCACCTTCCATACACAACAGACACAAGCACGTAGACCTGCTCACTTTATAAAAACTAGTTTGTTCCAAGCATTAAACGGGAACTGGCACATTTTACACACCAAAGTGTGTTTGCAGGTGATGGAGAGAACCACTGCATGTGTGAAGCCTTTAGTGTTTCCAGAGGGAGTTGTGTGAAGACTGATAAATGTCTGCAAGTGATGTTGACACAAGCTACTAGCTGAACACACCTGACTCTGTGTCAGCAGTCGAGTTGCATTGTGGGAAATGTAGATGCCGGGTTTGGACACGAGGGAAGATTTCAGTCCTTCCTTTATAAATGAGTCTCAGGAGTGCATTGCTAATTTTCTTCCCATGCAAACAGAAGTGGTGAAGTTTGTCGTCCTTTGCCTCCATGTTTGTTCTTGTACTTGAAAGAACATGATGGTAGAAGAGCTGTGTAATTATTCCTCTGGAAAGATGCCAAATGAGTCTCTCGTCTCGAAAACAGGAGCATTCTCTAATCCTGTTCTGAAGTTCAGACACATTAATCTCTGTGAGCAGCCTTTTATTCACAATCCCACTGACTGTTCATTCATCAAGAGACTGTGTGTCCCCTGAGAGAGATGCTGAGGGTGATGAATCATCCACCTGATCTTCTCTTCTGGAAGACATGGGATGACCTCTCAGTCCACCACAGCTTTATATAATCATAAACCAGCGAGGCCATGCCTTCATAGTAAGATGGTGGTGAACAACAGGTGTGTGTGTGTTTTGATCATCAGGTTTTTAGTGTAAACTAGGACTCATCACAAATGTCACATGAGGTTCGAGGAACCTCAAGCTGCAAACATGAAGTTGTGTGAACGAGTGAAGAGCAGTGATGAGGACTGGAAGCTGTGGTTAGCTTCTTTCTTTCTCCTCCTCCTGCTTTCTGTTTGAAGAGAAATAGCATCATAGCTCCAGTGGAAAATCCCATAGTTTAACATTAAACAGGATAGAGAAGTTCCTTCAGGAGCCTGTTAAAGCACATGTGGGTCATTTTCTTCTTTGATTACAGCAACTTGTGAAACAAAAAACTGCAAAAATAAATGCATAGAATAAAACTGAAAAAAATAAAGCAGAGCAGGTCACAGGAGCAGTACAAAAGTTCAAACATAAGTTTTGCAGGGAAAACAAGTAAACATGTTATTACACACACAAAAAAAACAATTAATAAAAAAGGGTGGGGTAAATGAAGCCTGCTCTACCTCCTGAGCCACAGCCATCTCATGCACAAACCTAATGATTGAAATTCTGTGTACTCTTAATTGTAAAGATGTCATATATGGCATGCCTAACTAACACATGTAAAGACGCAATAAACCAGTTGAGTAAAGAAAGAACTGGTTCATTCCCTTTCAGTAAACACAAACTACATCAAAGTGTTTGCTCTGTGTGAATCACTTAGCAGTCCCATGTCCCAGGATGCAACAGAAAGTAAAGGTAACATTTTAGTGGTGAGGTTCTCCTCATGGTGACTCTTCAGGTTACAAACACGGTGCTAAGTGTCCAGATGTCAGACAGTGCATGAACATACAACAGGTCCTCTCTTTGCTCTGCTTGCAGTGGATCACTGTGACACACTCAACAGCTGCTCTGAGGACGAACCAATGATGGCCAGTGAAGAATGTCTGGATGCTGCCACTGATGAGTCCTTGTTGGAGACCAACCCCATCCAGTCACCGCTGCAGGTCTTCGCAGGCATGGGTGGTCTGGCCCTGATCGCAGAGAGGCTGCCTATGCTCTACCCTGATGTGATACAGCAGGTGAGACTCAGCCTCAGTCCAACTGGTCTTTATTCTGCATGTGACAGAAACAGGTCGTAGATTATGCAGTCAAGGCTGCCTCAGTGACCTGCTGTGTGACAGCGGTACCACAGCAGCTCAGCTACTACTACACTGCGGAGGAGTCAACTACACACTGTATCCACAAACCTTTATTGTGATTAGTCTCATGTAGGGCCTACTTTCTCTCTATTAGAAAGAAAGTAGTGATCTATATATGTTAATATTAAACATATAATTATGTATATATAATTATAATCTGCACCCACATAAAATGCAATAAATTGCACTTAATAAATTCATACTTATACTTCATACTATAATTTATTTTGCTCAACCTTGTAATTCTGTTAGAAAAATACTACTAGGGATATAATTGAATATAAACAAAATAACTCGTCTTTCTCCTGTAGGAGACTGTTGGGCTGCAACAGTAGGAAGTGTCGACATAGAATCTACGTCATCACATCATGTCGTAGTCGTCCCTTCAACCATCACTGCTTAAAGTTCCTCTTTTATGATAAAAAGGCTCTGATGTCTGCAGATGTCTTTCTCCTGGATGAAATATTGTGCTTTTACTCTGATTTGGATCATGAGATGTTGGTCATTGTCTGATGAAGTGAAAAAGTAACAGTAACAGTATTTGACATCGACAGTATGTAATGAAACCCAGTGTCTCCTCTCCTTCAGCAGCGTTCTTCACCTGTCAGCACTGTCTCATATTCACCTGTTACCTTTACTTACGTGACGTCTCTTCTCCTGGATGGTCGTTCACAGGTCAGCGCCCCGGTGGTGCCCTCAGCCACACAGGAGAAGCCCAAGGACAGCGACCAGTTTGAGTGGGTCACCATCGAGCAGTCGGGTGAGCTGGTGTATGAGGCACCGGAGTCCATCGCCACTGAGCCACCGCCCATGAACAAGCAGCAGTCTCAGTCGTCCTCGTCGTCCTCGTCCTCCGTGCAGACCATGTCGCCCATCCCTGCCCACTCGCTGGCGGCGTTCGGCCTGTTCCTGCGCCTGCCAGGTTACGCAGAGGTGCTGCTGAAGGAGAGGAAGCACGCCCAGTGTCTGCTGCGCTTGGTGCTGGGAGTGACAGACGACGGAGAGGGCAGTAAGTCTGAAATCACTGCACAGCTGCCAACACTGACATTCACTTGAGGTCACCGTGCGCGCACACACACACACACGCTGAATATTACTAATGTCTCTTAATCTTTTATGAACATTTCTGATTTTCTCCCTGAGTTTGTTTTGAAGTGAGAGTCCTCATTAGTGACTGAAGTCAGAGTCTCTGTGCTTCTTGTCAGTGACACAGGTCACATTACATCAGACTGGGGAGGAATTGGGTCATTATTCACCCAATATGTTCCCTTAACATCTTATAGTGATTCCTTAAAATGATCCAATATACAAACCATTTATTAATACATGTCTTCATGAAACTGTACTTTGAATAACGCAGATACACACACTGAATAACTTCCTGTACCAAGACATAACATCACAGTTAAGTCCTAGAATAACATTGTCATAAGACAGTGAAATTTATTACACCTTCCACCTCATGCTATAGTACAATGGAGTAGCAGGGCCACATTGAGGGGAAAAAAATCTGATATCTCAAGAATAAAGTTGTAATTTTAGGTCACTTGTTTTAGAGAGGAAATATCAGAAGCTTTAAAATGAGGAACGTGGAGCATCCTGTGAAGTTCTACTTTAGGTTTCACTAATCAGGAGATACTTCATGTTTTGGCTCATCATCATCATCATCATCATCAGGACATTGAAAAGATTGTGAAGAAACTGAGTCTGTTCTATTGTTAGACAGACAAACAGCAGCTGACACTGACTGTCCTTTCTCCTGTTTGATTGGTTGTTGTAATATTCCTAAAAGATTGGGGTTTTTTTTCTCTTGAAATTTTACATTTTTAATTCTTGTAATATTACGACTTTATCTTTGAAATTTCCGATTTTTTTTTTCTTCAATGTGGCCCTAATACTCCATCGTACTATATAACTTAGTTCACACAAATATCAGCTTTCAAAGCTGAATTTTGCTTGTTGATGCTGAAAAAACATTTCACAAGAACAAAGAAGTTACATTTTTATTTTAAAGAAAACCAACTTGTGCTTAGCTTCATGTTTTAAATTTTATGCTAAAAATCATTAAAAAATCACCCAAATTTGAAGTTGTCATAGTGAAAGACCTCATGATGCGTTTTCACTCGAACTCGACACTGTTAAAGCAATAAAAGCCTCTTAAACCTGAACTCAGAGCTCTCAGCTTATTGCTCTGGCTCCTCCTCATAGGTCACATCCTGCAGTCTCCATCAGCCAACGTGTTGCCCACGCTGCCCTTCCACGTCCTGCGGGCACTGTTCAGCAGCACTCCTCTCACCACTGACGACGGCGTGCTTCTGCGTCGCATGGCTCTGGAGATCGGCGCCATCCACCTCATCTTGGCCTGTCTGTCGGCTCTCAGCCACCACGCCCCCCGCAACCCCAACGCCAGCACCAGTGTCTCTGAGGTATGGGCCATAGGCAGGCACACACACACACACACACACACACACACACACACACACAGAGGCAGAAACATCCTCCCAAAAGTACAGAAACACTTGGCCACTATTCTTTAACCTCAGTGTTCTTGAGAAACTCCAGTGTCTTTAACATTTTAAATAATACTTATTCTTCAATGAAGCATGTTTCTGTGAAGTATATCTGTATTAATATTCTTTTTTAGCGCCGTACATAGAAATGTAAACAATGTTGAGCTTCAGGGTGAGAAGCAGGTGGAGGGAGACTTACTCTTAAACTCCCCTCAGTTGCGCTGCCCATTACACTGACTGAGAGGAGCTACAGCAGCAGCTACACTCATACAGCTGTATGAGGAACTGAAACTACAGGTGACTGTGGTTAAGGAGGAGCCAGGTGTTGCTACCTAACTCTATAGTATTATCCCAGTGCAGATTGCAGTAGAGTGGATGGTACAAAATGCTGTACTGAGTTGTAAACTATTATTTAGGTATTGTATGAAGATCAGTTAGCCTAATATTGATCCTTGTGGACACCTTTATTATCTCTTCACTTAAATTGGAGCCATCGACAAGAATTCCAAGGTCCACCCCGGTGGGCTCACATGATAGATCCGAGGGGTCTCAGGGTGATTGAAACAAAACAGGAAAATGTTGTGCTTCTGTTTTCCTGACTTGAGCTCGTTCCTTTTGAAATACTGTGAAGTTTTACGATTTCAGGCGTGAAACAGTTGCTGAAGTGAAACTCTGTGGTTCTTATCGACATATTGAGCCTGTGAGCGTGATGAGCACACACTGCTTCATTTGAAAGGTCAGGAAGTCCACAACTGTTGTAGCCTGAAACATTGGCCCAGCTGTGAAGTGGAAGCCTAAATACACAGAAGATCCCTGAAACAAGTGACAGCTTCAGTGATTTTCACTGCACCCAGCAGCAGTGGCTGATGGAACAGACAGAGGAGAAATGAGACCCAGATTTCCAGTAGCAGCAGCTGTTTGTTTACACTGATACTGGTGGTGAGCAAAGTCTGTGTTGTAACTGTCCTTTATCTGGCTTGGTTAATGAGGACAAACCATCCTCTGAGAGTTGCATCAAAAGATGGCCTGTAGGTTCTGAACCAGACCTGCTATGTTTTTATTGATGTGATGGTTTCATGGCAGCTCCCTTTCCCTCCACTGTGTGGATTTATGTTGTCATAGCAGAGTATGGTGCATGAGCCAAAGACTTGTCATTGTGGTGGATACTGTCCTTGAGACCACCACTGAGCTGAGCCACTGTTGTAAATGTGAGACAAAGGCACATCCAAGAAAACATCAACTCTTAAATGACTTGCTGCTTTTTCACCATGTTAGATTCCACAGCACTTTAATCCATGTTTGTCTCCATGTGACCATGAGACAAACTCAACCAGCCCAGAGACCTTAAATTATTATTTAGACTCAGTCTCTTGATGTTGAAGAACTCTTTAGCACTCCAAAAGTGTGGTGATCAATGAGATGTGTTCTTTCACATGTCACATGTCCCCGTCCCTCTGATTCTACACATTATCTGATATCTGTCTGCACTGACAGCCGCAGATATCCAGTTGTCATGGTGGGGGGACCAGTGAAGAGCAGCAGTTGTACTGGGCTAAAGGAACTGGCTTTGGTACTGGATCCACTGCCTCAGGCTGGGATGTTGAGCAGGCCCTCACAAAACAACGGCTGGAGGAGGAGCATGTCACCTGTCTACTTCAGGTAAGTCTTCCATTCCATGTCACATCGATAAACACACACGTTTTGGTTTTAGTGCACACACAGGAGGTGTGCAGGTCCTGGAGGTGTGCAGGTCCTGGAGGTGTGCAGGTCCTGGAGGTGCGCAGGTCCTGGAGGTGCGCAGGTCCTGGAGGTGCGCAGGTCCTGGAGGTGTGCAGGTCCTGGAGGTGTACAGGTCCTGGGGGACTACACGCTGCAGATTAAGTGTAGAGTAGGGGTGGGCGATATGGCAAAAATATCATATCACGATTTTTTAAAAATAAAATCACGATTTCGATTTTATCACGATCTTAAATTGGAAAAAGAAAAACAGACAATTTAGACCAAAGAACCTTTCTAAAGAGATTTTATTTCAAATCGTCGCAGTTTTGCCTGCATGTGCAAACAACGTAAAGTTTAAGGTAAACAACAACAACATTCTGGTTCGTCGTGTTACCACCCGACGTGCGAACGGTTTCTGTGCAAACTTTGCAGATTACATTTGCTTGCGCTTGATCAGTTGCGGAAAATCCAAACCAATTCCATATAATGGAGGTGGAATTTTTTTTAGCGACCAACTCCGTTTGGCTTTCAGCCATCGCTCTCCATGTGCTACCGCTACACACACAAACAAGGAGGCGGGTAGGAAAGTGCGTCACTGCCCGTAATTCGCTATGATTGGTCGGTCAGGTTGACGCCGTCAATACGTCTGGTGCGTCGGTGCATCAGCATAGAACTGCAATTTATAGAATGTGCCCTAGACGATCCCACGATCTCTGCAGTTTGAAAGATCGTCTTCACGTTGTAATCCTTCACGATCTAATATCGTCATATCGCCCACCCCTAGTGTAGAGTCATGTTGACAGCATCATCTACAGACCTGTCACCTCTGTAGGTGAACTTAGGGGGTCCAGTAGTGGGTGGGTGATGGCTTTGAGGTGGGACAGCACTACACACTCAAATGACTTCATTCCCACAGCAGTCAGGGCAACAGGTCTGTCAAATAGACTGCTGTCATATAGATTGCTGTGGCCATAGGATTACAATGTTTCTATTTCGTTGTTTCCACGCATCTATTTTTTTCACTCATTGTTTTCATTTAACATTAGGTGTACATTTTTATATGTGTATCTGGAGAGAGAGCAGGAGTCACTTTCTCAGGACCTTAGCGAGGGGGAAGCTGATGGTTTAGTGATGAGGAAAGTCACTGTCAGCTGGCACATCTGTCAGCGTGTCCACTCATGACGCAGCCACTTCGCAAACCTTATTTTGTGACTACAAACTACACCTTGATTTTGTAAATAGTCGGCCTATAGACTATAAACAGTAAGCAACATTTAAAATCACCCTCATTTATAATGAATAAAGAATCATAATGCAGCCTAATAGATCTCAACTGTCCAGTCCAGTACACACGGTACACTGGTCTCTGTGAGAGCTTGTAGGCTAGGTCAGATCCAGGTGGAACGAGCTGCGCGATCGCTATTAGTCGATCATTCTCTAACGTAATCTACCCCCCAACCCCCAACACAACATTATTATGAAGAAGGAGAAGTACTAACAGTTATTTTTTCCACTTAAAGAACTGCTTGTAAACCTAAACAATGTAAATATACGTGGCGGTCTGGGAGACCGTTGTGGAGACCTAGTGTTAAGTCATGTGGTCCTTGCTTCTTTTGAGGATGATGGTGGAGGATTTGAATCAGGTACAACCAGAAGGCGGTAACTCTAGTTATCTCTTTCTCTGTTAATGTGTCCTCAGTAGCTGTCCTGCTCTTTGGGCCTTTGTTACAGACAGTGCCAAAGGAAAAACCTGAAAGTTTGGAGAGACAGGACAGGAACACCTCCCTTCAGTAGAGTCCAGAGGCTTGTAGAATCACTACCAGAGAGCAGTGAAGCTGGTTTGAGGTTCATCCAAACTACATAATGTGCCTTTAACTGCACTCCTCTGGTAAACCATGTTAAATGGATTCTTCTCTCTTACTCTTTTGTTAGACAAAGAGTAAGCAGGTGTAGACAATGATGAAACAGCATGGTTGAGGATAGAGATTGGTCAAGAGCAGGTCACCTGAAGCTTGTACTTTTATGTGTCACTATAAGATCATCCATCTTATGTCTACATTGTTCTCTTCTCCAGGTCTTGGCCAGTTACATCAACCCAGCAGGCTCCTGTAGCTGCCACAGTGCTGACGGCTCCTCTGCAGATAGCAGATCCCACAACAGCTCAGCCCTGCCAGCTGTGCTGCAGGAGCTGCTGAGCCAGTCCTGCCTCATCCCCGCTATGTCCTCATACCTGCGCAACGACTCAGGTAGGCTCCCTGCTTTTACTAATGAAGGCTGTGACACACACACTGAAGGAGGTGGCATCTAAAGGCTTTGACACTAGCCTCCACTACTCTGTACTCTGCTTTTACCTGAGGTGGCACTGATGAGAAGGGCTTTCAAACTCCATGCATTTTAATAGAATAGAGCAGTCACAGAGTATGTGTATTATCAGAGACAAAGGAGCTTTAACAAGGAGTCTTGTTAATTAACATGGCAGCTAATTAACACAGCAAATGCGAGACACACGCCCATGTTTGTGCATCATTCAATGTGGGACCTGGTTTTTAGTTTGTTCATCACATGAATGGACTCTGATGTTGATGCTGCGTATTACGTGAAGTTGTGTCTGATGCTGAGACACTGGGTGTGGATCAGTCTGTGTTTGGTGTCAGTGAATAATGTGTCTCTAAATGAAACAGCAGATGGAGCTGCAGTCTTGAAATCTCATTGTGTCCCAGTACTGTTGGTTTAATGAGCCATGACTTGTCAAACACCATCTCAATGAAAAAATGGACTCTGTTCACAGCTTGTTGTCTCTGGTACAGTATAGCAGGGATGCACGATATGCAAAATAATCATATTGCGATTATTTTGGCAGATATCACAATGTGTTATTTCAGTTGGAAAGGTTGTTTTTTCGTTTTATTTTCACTGAAAAAATATAAAAATTATGATGAAGATTTGATTTTTGTTGGGTCTTGTGACAAACATGTTCTTTTACATCTGGAGAATATGATTTGTTGGCCGGGGCGTCTCAAAGCACCACAACACTTATGGTGCTAACAATGCACAACAATCTTGTGACAGATTTTACCTTTATCAAAAAAATCGCAGCTCCTGAGATTTTGATATTGCACTTGGCCATATCGCGATCTCGATTATTCTTCGATTAATTGTGCAGCCCTCCAGTATAGTTTAATGCTACTGGATCACTGCTGTGTGGATGGAATCGAACCACATGTTGAGGTCATCACTGTTTGAGGCAGACCTCTCTCTGAGCTCTCAGCAGCCTGCAGCAGAGCTCTGAGTTCAGCTCAGTTCAGGTCAGGCCAGCAATTATTTCCTTTTTGGGTTCCTTGGAGACTTGCTGGTTATTAGTGCTGAATGGACCCTACTGTAGTTTGGCTCTGTTCACTTGTGCTGTACGTGAGAACAGTTTCCAGTCTAAAGCCTCAGAGTGAGCAAAGTAACAAACTGCTAAACCGTTACTGTAGTTTATTTACAAGAGACTGTGTTGATACGGCTTATATCATGAGCACATGAGCACTTCAGTCAGATTTCCCCACAATGAAAACAGTCAGATTTCCCCACAATGAAAACATTTGACAAAAAACAAACAGCTATATTAAAATGTCTCTCAGAGTTCAGACCTCCACCAATCACAAACACTCCTACACTCGTATTTTGTTGTCAAGTATAACTTTATTTAGATGTCTGGGAAACACTGCAGAAGTTATTCAACATCGTCCAGAGAGAATCAGATGAACTTGCCCTTATTTCTTGTGGTAGTAAGTGTGTAGTAAACTTACATGGTCTCACTCATGATCATTAATCCTGACACTTTCATTTGGCCTCTGCTCCATCTGCTAAGCTAGCAGTTCTCGTTTGGCTGGTCAAAAAAAGTGTCCCAGGTGAACAGAAGTAAATATGTGCCTCTTATGCCTGTTTAGTTGCCCATTAAGGTAATTAAATGGATCCCCAGTGGTACCCCTTCGGGGTCCACATGTCCAGCTCAATGTGCTCCCCAAAAAAGCCTCTTGGACCTTTTAAAGTGTGCCTGGATAGATTTTTTGCTAATTTGCAAAACTTGAAAAACTGTAAAATGAATAGAACTTTATGAATTTTGAGAGTAGAAACACCAAATTTGGTAGGCCGCCTTGAGAGATGAATATACAAATTCTTATTATAATGGAGCAAGATCAGTCAAAAAACATGGCCGCCATCAACCAAAATATTTTCGCAAAGGGCTGGGCTAAGCTAGTATTGGCCATTACTCATTAACCATTGGTCTGATCATCATGAGACTTGGTCGATATCTTCAGGGCGGACAGGGAGTAGGCGTATCAAAGAATTTTGACCTGCCCTGTAGGAGGCGCCATAAATGCCAAAAATATCTACCTCAAAATCTGGTGAACAGATTTTCACCAAAATTGGTACACATGTTCTGGAGGCGAGTATCAACGAAAATCTGAAGTGCCACATTGATTGATGACAGTGGGCGTTGCCTTTTCATCAATATGTGCCATTTTAAGCATTTGCCCAATTTTCAGAGAGCTGGAACGAGCCAGACACACGGAAATTGGTATCATAACTCCAAATGGTGTGTAAAGGCTTCACAAAAAATATTGTCACATTCGCCCATATGATGGCGCTATAATTGAGAGTCAAAATTTCAAAAAATTTGAAAGGTTGCCCCCACCGCACCAAGAGTCCCACCGTCTTCAGATTTACCTCTCCACTACACAACATTCTCTACAAGAAGCCTCTGTGATAGTACCGACTACCTATATGGATTTTGAGCTAATTAGAACATTAAAAACAGTAAAATGGATAGAACGTTTCGAATTTTTACTTAATCAATACCAAATTTGGTATCCAGTCTTGGGTGACTGAGAGGCACATTTCTATTACAAATGAGCAAGATCGGTTGAAAAACATGGCCGCCATTGACTGAAATGTCTTTGCGATGGGCGGGGCTTAGCTAATATTGATTCATTTACCGTTTGCCCGATCATCATAAAACTTGGTATTTTATATCGAATAGGTCAACCAAAGCATTAATTAGCTAAAATTGTCTGCTTGTCTCGGTTGAGCGCAAAACGGTTAGAACCCGTGAATAGCCACTTGCGACTGTAATTATTTTGTTATCATTGTGTTTTTGATGTTTGTGGTGTCATCACCATAGACTGCACCATACTGAGGTGAAGAGCAGATATGTCTGTAACATTCACCAAATGTACAAAAGCAAGTTCATTGTGAACCTGCTCCACCTGTGGTGATCCAGTGGTGAAGTCCTGATGCAGCAGACTCTGTCTACTCCCACACGTTTACTCTGTGTTTGATCATTGGCCCTACCCTCGCTGGTGAACACGTTTACACTGTGTTTGGTCAGGCTCCTTTTTGTGTTGACTTTGAATGGAGCTGAATTCATGCACTAATAGACACTAGGGTTTTCACACGTCAGTGTTTATATGCTGCTGTTCCCTTTGTGAGCTTGCTTATCAGCCCTGAGCCAGATCCAGTTTACTGTGTGCCACCTCTGTGTGCCTGATGCTGAGCTGCTGTTTGCAAGAGGATCTGTGTGTGTGCGCGCATGTGTGCTAATTCGCCCCTGCTCTCATAATTAAGTAACAAGTGATTAAAAAAAAAAAAAGTGTTATAATTGCTCCTCATTATGTGGTAAATGCCTCTGACACACACTTACATGCGTGTGTGTGATATGAAGTCTACAGTCTGTTGTGTGATTAGATATCATCACATGCTCATTGAAGCAGTGGCCTTAATGGTGACATAGCTTCCTTTAAAATCTATGCATGTACCACTCAAATCAATAACAGATGACTTTATACTCTGCTAATAAGCCTTTGTATGCAGCTAAATGAAGTTATGTGCAAATAAAAGTATCTTGCGTATGATAGCCAGTTGTCCATGAGCTCTAAGCTGTGATGAAGACCTGGGACATGAGAGCTCCCGGTTCTCTGGAGTCAGGAAAGTTGCTCCATGTTTGATCTCACCAACACATCAGGGAGGGACTTATGTAACTGTGGCTGAGCTTATGCTTCATAACATGGGAAAAAGCATCAGTCTGTGACATCATGTTGGTGCCTTCACTTTTTCATCTGCCAAAAATCACTAACTGGACTGGGAACATTTTGCAGTGTTTGTGGAGACATGGACATAAAAACATAATTGACAAAAAGAGCCATTGTTGTTTTCATGTCTCTTTTCTAATTTTAGTCAGTGATGAAGTCTAGTCGTGGTAGACTCGGCAAACATTTCAAACTAATTTTATCTTTCTTTATTTGTAAACCTTCAAACCTTTGGTCTCTGGTGAAGAATCTTCTGCCTCATCTTTATCTAACGTCACCATCATTAGGACACTGACAGGGTCAAACACGACTGACAGTGGAGGAGCTGACTGCGATTGGTTTTTCTCCTGTGATGAACCCAGTGTATGGTCTATCACATTTTCAAGATGAAATAAAATTCCTTCCTCTGACTAAAAGCTCTACTTTAAAACAAGAGTATTTCATATAAATGAGTGGAGTCAAAAGAACAATATTTGTCTTTAAGTGTAACAGAGTTAAGTTTCTAAGTTTCTAAAAGAAATAATACTCAAGTAAAAACTGTATACTGAACACTATACTTAAGTACAGTACTGAAGTGAATATACTCAGTTACAGTCTATCCCTTTTCCTGTGTAACCAAACCTGATATATCATACAAGAATGATGGAAGCCACTATCACATTTGAATAAATAGTTGTGAAAAAATACACAAACAAATGAATTAGTCAATCAACAAGATTAATCAACATGTCATCAACACATGTGGTGGTAAGTTTGAATTCCTGTAGATGATCATTGATTTTATTAGTGTGACTATAATTGACAGTTTCATCATCTGAAACTGTAACAAAATGTCCACATTTTACCACATAGATGTTTTTCATAGTACAAAATATGATTTAGCCTAAATCTTATCACATTTCCTGTGTTTGAAAATGAGACAATCTTAATACCCTATAGTGCAGAGCAGGGATTGACTTGTTCTCACATATCCAACATGCACAGAGATGGTCTCTCCTCATCTGTGTTTGCTTGTCTTTGAAGTGAGTGTTGTGTGTTACATTTATCCAGCGCAACATCCCTGTGTGTTAGTACCTACTCTACCCGTCAGAGATGGTGTTTTCTATGTGGGAGCACTCTGCTGGATCTTAATTCCACTTCAAAGATTTATGACCTTCCATCTTGCTGCTCTCACT